TTTTTGTAGAACGGTGACCAAAATTGGTTGCAGTATTCCAGGTGTGGTCTTGCTAGGATCTTATAAAACAGTACTAATACTTCGCATGCCTCTGTTTATACAACCCAGGATTGTATTAGCTTTTTGGCTGCTGCTGCATGTTGCTGGCTCATATTCAAGTGATCATCCACTAGGATTCCAAGTTCCCTCTCACAGTTATTGTTTTTGAGCCAGGTCAAAAACAGATATACTCAGTGGTGGGGGATTCAGCTGGTTCGCACCACTTCGGCAGAACCGGTAGCTAATTTTTTTTGCCCAGGCCCAGAATGGACTTCCTGAAGCAGCATCCACACAGAGAACTGGTTGTTCACATATTTGAATCCCACCACTGGGTGAGGGGAATGGTTTCATGTGCACAATCTAAATCCCGCATATGCATAAATGAAGCTTCGTACACTCATCTGCTGCTATTCTCAACGGGCTGCAGCCCAGTAGCAGTCCACTGCCAGGAGGTTGGGGACCTCTAACCTAGTGTATAGCTCCTATGCAAAATGTACATTCAGTGGTCAGAATCATTATAAAATAATTAATAATAAAGTTGAGAGCATCATAATATTTATCCTATGCTACTCCAGGATCAGTTATTTCTGACTTTAAGCAAATCAATGCTTTTTTTGTAAAAAAAAAAAAAAGGTGCTGGAACTCACACATGTCATACAACCCAACTTGCCTACCATATAAGGTTCCATCCAAAAAAGGTGCCGGAACTCCGTTCTGGGCGTTCTATGACAAAAAAAAAAAAAAAGCCCTGAGGCAAATGGCCCTGACAATAAAGGTGCATGCTTTGAAGGTCATGGTTTTCCTGCTTGTAACATCTAAGGTTATCTTGAACCATAGAAGAACTAGGTAAAGTAAAACTAGACTGCCTACTTGAAGCACCACTTATAAAGATAATGGTTAAGTGAGCAGATAATGTGAAAACCCAAATGCTTGGAAAATTTGAAGGTAGGCCAAATGATAACTCCAAAACATTGAGTAGAGCAGAAAGTGACCAGGAAATTCTGCAGAAAATATAGCTTTTAAAAAAGATATATACAATTGGCTAACATTTCCTTGACATGCTACCACTTTAAGGGATTTTTTAAGCTGTAGTTTAAAAAAAAAAAGCTTTATTGTCTTAATATGTTCACTGTGAGTTGTTTTTCACCCAAGTAATATTAGGGGCCTATATGCTCTCTTTATTCCTCATCTGGTTTCTATTCAGGTTGTAAAACGAGGATCTTTTCCCTTCCTGGCAAAGCTAGCAGAAACTTTGTGACACAATTCCCTCTTCCAACTTCTAAGCATCCAGTATGGTTTCAATTATAGACATAAGTAGGAAGTGGGAAATTCAGCCATGCCCCTCTTTTCCTCATATATAACAGCTTTCCTTTTTTTAAAAAAAGTTCTGTCTACTGCCCCATGAAGAATGGAAAACTAGTTCATTTGTACATGTTGTTGGAAACAAAGACAGTTACTGCGAAAGTGTAATATATATAAGAGTTTCTTCTCTCCCTGTCTCTCTGAATTAGATTAATGTTGTGGTTCTTTTCCACTAAGAACTGCTGCAGACAATTTAGGAGAAAATTATCTCAGTACTTAGTGTGCTATGATTACCATTTTAAGCCCAGCTCCTGCTAGTACTGAGTCAGAGAGCTAAACTACTTCTGGATTTTGATGTTACTGAAAAAGAACATTTTTGTCCTCTGCTTTCATAGTCAATTCATTGAGAAGTTTGGCTTTGCAGGAAATTGATGCATAGCCCTTTAATTCTTGGAACTTGAGGTCAAGGCTTATAATTTTTGATCATAAGTGAAATGAGTGTCCGGTGAATGTTTCCTGACATCACAAAATTCATACTTTAGTCATAAGAAGCAGTTATTCTGATGTAGAAGAGTTCAGGATGGGAGAACAGCAGGAAATAGTCTGCATAAAAAAGGGGAGGAGCTCACTATCGTGGTGTTGCATGCCAGATTTCATTACCAATCAAACGACTGAAGTAAGACAAGGAGAAAAAAAAAGGCTTAGCAGTTTGATGTTTGAACCAGAAAAACAAAAGTATTTCTGGCCAGTTTGGAAGAAAATAGGACAAGAGTAAACAGAATAAGATTTTCTGCTGATTTAATTTTATTCTAGAAAACCCAGGCAATTTTTACATATCTTTCTTCTTGTATTTGCATATGAGAATATGTTTTCACTATTAGATGTAATTCGTTTTCCCATTGTTAAGCAGTTCACCATTAAAAAGTTCCTAAAAATGATGATTTGCAAATTTCAAAATTTGAAGTATTTTGCTTTCTTAGGAGCTACATTATACTGATAATGATTTTATGGAGAGCAGACATATCCTGTCATTGTATGGAGCATGTTTAATGAGGTTTCTAAACTCTTAATCTGTAACTATCTTATCTTCTCCAAAATTAAGCAGCCACCATTGTTCATTCAAGCCAGAAACAGGAAGATCATATCTTATTTTAAGAATCTAGACATAATTCCACAGTAAACTGAGATTACAGTATGTCAAAATAATGAAATCTGAGTGGTGATGCCATGATATGTACTTGCACCTTGACATATGCCAGAAATTCCCAAGTTCCAGGTTTTAGTTATTTTTATGTATAGATGCCTATGAATTACGGTTTACCAACAAATCAAGATGTCTGAATGGATTTACATGTGTGGTATAGTTCATTTAGCATATTAGAGATGTGAAAAAATATCCTTTTTAGCCACATGTTATAAATTACGTGGGATAAACTGTGTGGATACAAAAACTTTTCACACAAAATCATATTTTAAGACATATTTGCAGGGCTGCATCACAACATGGGCCTTGTTTGTGAGAGGCTATCTGTATGGTTTTACACATAAATCTCCATGATAATAGATCTTTCATGCAAGATGCAGAGTGGGTTCGCATATATCATTAAGCCAGAGGGCAGCTTGTTCGGTTTTAGTTTAGCATGCTAAGAGAATTACAGTGTTTATAGATCATAGCTTAATAGCAGGATATGCATATACACTTAATTAAAATGTGGTTTTCTTGTTTGTAGCATATCTTATGAAAATAGCCATTGTGGTTTAAAAACCTTGTTGTAGAGAATAATGTATTATATAAATGCAGCTATTTGTGTTTTATTCCCAAATGGAAGTTAAACTATGGCTTAGTTTTTTTGTACTGAACCAGCATGTATATTTTGCAAATATTATATAGATTAGACAAAACATAGATTACCTTTATGTACATGCAAGGTCAGAATCTAGTAATGTTGCTAAAAGTGTCAATATTTTATTTTTGCTGTTTTTTTAATAATAGGAATAAAATGGCAGAGCAATCTGGAAATGAATGTAAATATCTGTTAATGTGAGAATTCATGTATGAATTAAACATCATCAATACATCTATAACTATGATACATTTTCTGGAAAACTGTAATTTACAGAAACTTGCACAATTGTATTAATTGATAAAATTTTAATATAATAAGATCATTATTTAAGCAATCATATTTATCCATTGAAGTATATCTTATACTTCAGCTAGACCTGAGTTTTTCGTATAAGACAATTTGTTTATTTAGTTAAATGAGTAGAAATATATTTTACCATATTATCACCCTTCATATAGTCTGAAATCATAAAATAGAATAAAACTGAAAAGAATGGTGTAAGTGTTTGAGGCCACAATTGTAAACTTGACTACAGACTATCTTGTTCTTGTAAAAATAAATCTGTTCTTCTAAATGTGAGATAACTAGAGATAAGACCTTTCAGAAATCTCAGAGCAATTATTTCTTGCAAATTGGGTGGCTTTTAAAAATAAAAATAGGCAAATATGGTGAGAAATTATGATAGAAGTATTGTTTTTTTAATGTTCTTTACAAATACGATGCCACTTTGTTATTTAAAATATGATAACTTGGTTTGCTTATGAAACTCTGGTGTATTGTATAGAAATGAAATGTATAAGTTGATTAACATAATAATGAAAATGATTCCATTGAAGTTACTTCAACTATCCTAATTTTGGCTGTAACTATAGCTACAAGCTACTGAATAATAATAAAGTGGCATCCCTGTAATTTTGCTTATGTATGATAAGTAGGCAGGCAGAAGTTAAAATTGAAAACAAAATGGAAAACATCATTTTAAAAGAAAAGCCTTTGATCTCCATAATGGACATGACTGGCTAGAGAATTCTCAGAGTGGAAGTGCACACTTCTTAAAGTTGGCAAATTTGAGAAATACTGTCCTATAGAAACTGAAAATATTATATTTCAGAAAAAGTCTGAAAGAAGGCAATGAGACAGAATGCACATTTGTCCACATAAAAACGGTTTTCTAAAATTGGTCTCATTCTCTGAATCTGAGCTACCCTTTTGATCCCTTATTTTTATCTTTGTGTAAATGTTTGGTGTTTGTATTGAATGAGATTTCGTTGCTATTTCACATATTAGTTTTTTTTTAAATTTTGGTGTATTGCCAAATTTAGATCATTTTTTTCACTTCTTATGTATTTCTGTATTGTGTGTGTGTGTGTGTGTGTGTGTGTGTGTGTATAAATAATAAGGAAATTTCCATATTTTTGCCCAGACCTCTGTCTAGAGATAAGCTGGCAAGAAAAAAAAACATTGTTCCATTTTATAAAAGTATAACCATATACTGTACATGTTTCTAACTGCCATACAAATGCTTAGAAAAGGGAGTTTATTCTGCTTTTTATCTAGCAATTATTTTGATTAATAGTTCCACCATAACTGTATACCAGTTCGTATTCAGCCAGTTCATACCAGTTTGGAAGAACTGGTAGCTATTTTTTTTTGCCCAGGCCCAGAATGGACTTCCGGAAGTGGCATGCACACAGACAACTGGTTGTTCACATATTTGAATTCCACAACTGCTGTATACTCTTTATTCATCATCAGTAAATTTTAGTAACAAATATTAATAACAATGTTTAATTCTTTATCTCATTCTTGTAGTTCCTATAGTACTGAAGAACTGCGCAGAGTTCATTGAGACTCATGGAATTGTGGATGGAATCTATCGGCTTTCTGGTGTGACATCCAATATTCAGAAACTGAGGTGACATAAATTAATCCATGTTAAGCCTCTTATGCACTTTGTTTTTTATGAGGGGGCTATAAATATAAATATGTGGATTGAACCTTGATTTTTATTTAAAAATATAACACTAGAATATAAAAGATAGCTACAAAATAAATTCAGTAACATCTTGAGTGTCATTATATGGTAGTTTTCAACAAGATCTAAGTGATTTAAACTGTAGGTAGACATTTTAATGTAGTTTAGTTTATTTCATTAATTTCTAAGACTATTTACTTCACTAATGAATCTGGGACAGCTTATGAGGAATAAAACAAAAAAAAAAGTAAAATACAGAAGGCTAATAAGAAAAATAGTGTCAGGGAAAGAATGATATCCAGATAAAATACAATGGGTTCATATTTAACCCAAAATTTGTTGGAAGAGTCATACCTTTAATATCTTCTTACTAGTCAATGAAGCTGAGGCCATATGGAGCAATGATGTGCCAGAGAAATAGTACAGCACAGAAAATACAGGTTTCTGGAAACTTCTAAAACGATATTGCTTAATTTAATGGCACTTGGATAGTTTAACTCCTGTCAGATATTACAAATGAGGAGAAGTGGCTCTCCAAGCTGAATGCCATATTGATATCCCCCACCCAATATTATGGTCATAGACAAGCATTACAAATAAGTATTAAAAATAACATAAGATAAGATAAAATTAAATTAAATTAAATTTAAAAAGACAATATTATATTTAAAAACTGGTCATAGATTGTCAGTGGGCAAAGTCTGCTTAATTTTGAAGACAGTGTAACAAAATTTAGCTACCTCAAAGACACATTGGATTGATGCAATAACAGCAATTGAACATAAAAAAAGACTGGTGTTTCCCAAGAATTTTATCAGGTGAGGTGTTAGGAGATGGATCAGTGAGTCCTTATAGAAGGTACAATAGAGTAGAATGTGAGCAAAGTTATTCAAACATTAGAATTGTCACTGTTTGCAAATGAAATATTGATCATATTCAGGGGTTTTGAAAGATATTTAATTCTCCCTATTCTATTTTTTTTAAAGCTCATCTAATTATTTTTCATTTTTTTGCTTGATTTACTAGTGTCAAGTAATGGATCCATATAAAGAAGCTTCATTCATTCCTTTTCAAACACTTTTTTACATGGTGGTAGTGGGGCACAAAGCTTGAATTGCTTATTTTCTTGTATATAGGCACGTGTATTGTTGCTTTCTATGAATCCCGCCCCTAGACAGTTTTGATATTATAGCCAGTAGTTCAACTGTGGTTTATAATAAATTGTCTCCATATAAGTGGCATTTATACAATACTAATTACATTATATGAAACTATAATATGCAGAATCTATGCAGCTCTCAAAGTTATGATATGTTTCCATGGTGATTCTAGGTGCCAATCAGGTTTTTCCATGTCTGACTTACAGTATTATATTATCAGATCTTTGTTACCAAATCAGAATACTTTTCTTTTTGAAGATGTGAATTTTGTTTCTATCTCATTCTATTTATGAAGCCCAGTATGTCCCCTTCTCTGTTGTTGCAGACAAGAGTTTGGTTCAGATCAATGCCCAGACCTGACTAGGGAAGTTTACCTACAAGATATTCACTGTGTTGGATCACTTTGCAAGTTATACTTCAGGGAACTACCAAATCCTCTTCTCACATATGAACTTTACAAGAAATTCACGGTGAGATATTTCTGTTCTATTTTCTATTTTCATTGTGGATGAAGGAGTTATTGTAGCTTTACAATGCATTTCATTTTTGTGTATGTACTAGCAAGAAAAACAAAATTCCTGGGTCTCCTCAAATGTTTTAGTTTTATCCTGTGCCTATTCCCAGGCTTTTAACTTGAATCTAGCTTAAATGCATTTGTAATTACTTAGCCAAAAGACACAAAATAATGTAGCCCAGGATTTCCCATTGTTTGCCATATGGCAATTTTTATTATAATGGAGGAAAATTTTAAATACATGGAAATAAAGATATTACATGTAAATTAATTCTTTATCTTTTCCCTGCCTTCTTTTTTTTCAAGGGTATGGTATAGTCCCTAGCTTAAATGCAAGCAATGAGTTGAATTGTACTTTTTAATGTTTAGTAAGGCCACAGAGGGAATACTGCATCCAGTTTTGGTCACCACATTACAAAAAAGACATTGAGACTTTGGAAAAAGTACAAAAAAGAGCAACTAAGATAAATAAAGGCCTGGAGACTAAAACATATGAAGAACAGTTGCAGGATTTGGGTTTGGCTAGTCTAGAGAAAAGAAGGGTGACCTGATAGCAGTTTTTCAGTATTTGAGAGGTTACCACAAAGAGGTGGGGGGGGTCAACTTATTTTCCAAAGCTCCAGAGAGCAGGACAAAAAAAAAAAATGGATGGAAACTAATCAAGGTGAGAAGCAACCTAGAATTAAGGAGAAACTTCCTAACAGTGAGAACAATTAACCAGTGGAACAGCTTGCCATCAAAAGTTATGGGTGCTTCATCACTGGAAGTTTTTAAGAAGAAACTGGACAGTCATTTGTCTGAAATGGTATAGGGTCTCCTGTTTGAGCAGGGGGTTGGGCTAGAAGACCTGCAAGGTTCTTTTTAGCTCTCTTCTGATTGATGTTTGATATAGACTTGTTTCTTTGAGAAAGTGCCAAACTGAATGGCATTCTAGTTTGTGTTGATGCATTTACTTTTTGTGGCCTATGTAAAAGCAGAGGAGATATTTTCAAGGAAAACAAGTAGTTCCATCAGATTGTCAGCTGCTTCACATGGCACTACCTGGAAGAAGGGTATCTATTGGCTTTAAAGACCATAGGCATCCACATGGCCCAACTCTCATCATTTTTACATGTGTGTGATGTTGATGTACATACAAAAGAAATGGAATTTGGATCATGACAGCATAGATTTGGCCTATTGCTGCTTAATGACAGAATTTTATTAATCTTATCTTATTAATGACAGAATCATGATAAAAAGTGATTTTCTGTCAAGGTGAGGGCCTTGATCGTAGATTTGAACTACTTTGAATTGAATTGAACTTCTATACAATTTCTTTTTTAAAAAACAAAAGTTAATTATATACTAATTAAATGTCCACATTATTTTACATGGTTTTGTATTTCCCAGTACATATCACATATAGTAAGCAATCTATGTCAAAAGTCCCTTTCAAATATTTTTGTTCATGGGTATTTTGCTCAAGGCTGTTTTGACTACTGGTCTGCAACTGGTAAGCATAAATCCTGACTTACAATGCACCATCATTTTACACATAAATGGTAGAAATAATTCAAACTTTCAAAATAAAAATTAGAACTTATTTATATTTCTGGAAAAGTAAAGGTGAACTTAATTGAGAAATGATAGCAAATGACATATGATAAAGGATATTTACAATGTGATCATGATAATAATGAGTACCGATGTTTAAAAAGTCAGTTGTCAACATCTGTTATAAAAGTTGTTTGTAGGCTGTGTGCATAATTTAAGCAGAATATAGGTTTTCTGCAGACTGTATTCCCAGTACGTTTTCCCTCAAGTGAGACATGGATATCAATCATTTACTAAGTCACTTTTCTCCTTTGGCTGGAAAAAAAGAAATGATTGTTTTTGAAACAAGGGACAGAATTCTAGAAAACTGTGGACTGAGGCTAGAAAAAAAAAAGGATTTTCCATCTCTCCATTATCCCTGATTAAAGTCTGGAATTTCCAAGAAGTAGATACTCTAGAAAAATTGAACAGATATTCCAACTGTAGAACTTATCCTCTGCATTATTAAATGTTTGCAGTTGTATACTTAAGGTCAATGAGAGCCTTATTAGTTTATAAAGATCTTTTTATTTGAACTTTGATTTTGTTATGTTTGGGGGATTAATCTATTATCCAAGGAAGGGAAAAGGACTGAATCCTCTGGTTATGTTTTCAGATGTTCAAAGACTGCTATTACATCTCTTTTATCTTTAGGCTAAACATATCTCAGTCTTTTTTTTCTATTCTTTATAGGGCTTAATTTCCAGACCCCTTTCCATCTTGGTAGCCTTCTTCTGAACTTGCTCTAATTTATCATTTTTTTTAAAGATAATGGGCACAAAATCCTAAATAACATTTGATCAGGACTGGGTAGAGTAGAACTATAATTGCAATGATCTGGGTTCTATGAGTTTGCTAATCCACCTCAAGATAGAATTTACTTTTTAAGCAGCTGGATCATCCTATTTGCTCAATTTTAACTTGTGGTCAAGAAGGTGATTCAGATCCTTTTTATACATATTTCTACAAAACCAGTTTCCCCTTCCTATATTTATGTAGATCTTTACATTTCTCCCCATTAAATTGCATTCTGTTCAACCATAATGCTGTCCCCCAGGTAAACTTTCTCTCTTTCTAGGGCCCATGTGCTATTGTTTAACTAGAGATGTAGATGGCATACATTTGCCTCTTTACTATTCTGTCAATCAAGTTTTAAGATTTCTCGAGACTAGTTCCTCTGCCTCATACTTTACATACTCATTATCTAAACACTGTTTACATAAATAAATAAATACATAAGCACAGTGCAGAGGCTAGAAACAAAGGTTCAGCACTTTTTATCAATGCAGACTTTCATTTAAAAAGTTTCCTTCAGCCTGATCTATCTGTTTTTCATACCTGTCATAGTCAATCCCTGCATTATAACTGGTCTTAGTTGAATTGCTATTCATCTCCTTTTATTCTGCCTATAAAGTGGGATCAAACAGTATGGACCTTACTTACTGTGCTCCTGTGAGAACAATATGAAAGCTTTGATACTTTCAATAATTAATTTTATGATCCTTAGGTGTAAGCGGAATATACTAGCTCTTGTCAGATTTTATACTTACATTCCTAAGGTGCTCGTTATTGTATGTATTTATAATATAATGCAGTGTAAACTATACAACCTCTATGAAGGCACTTAATTATGATAGTTAATGTTTAATGCAGCATAGTCTTATGTTCTCACATGTCCCAACACACTTTATTGGATTGCTCTTTCAAAATATAAATGCCAATGTTTTTATTTCTGCGATGTTTCTAAAACAATGCATTTCTTTTTGGTGGTGATTTTCCCTCTTCTTGCTGGTTTCTCCTTGTCTTTTAAATAGATATATTAGAATTTAAAAATGAAATGAATTTTTAAAGATTTTATCTCAAGATGCTAGACAGGAAACAAAATTCTAGACTGAACTGTCTACTTCTGGTCAGCTTATTCCTAATTTGAAGGATTTTGAAGGCATTTCAGTTAAGTAGCCATCATCTCCCTCTATTCCTCAATATGAAATTTTGCACTACTTTCTTGTAACTAAGGTGCCAATTTTGTAGGAGAAATTAATAACTAACCCCAAAATATTTGTCTACAACAGAATGGGGGAAGGTCACTCCCAAGCAGTTTTCAGTTGCATACGATTGACCTCTAATCACAGACAGTCCAAATAAGTAGCAAAATTGCATGCTTTCAGGAGTGGCTGCCTTCTGATTGTGTATGAATATGCATTTTCTTCTCTCAGGAAGCCTGCCACAAAGTACAACTCTAAGCCAAACTTATACCTTCTTTTAAATGCAAATTGCACCTGCAGGGAGAATTAGTAAATATCTCCTGTGAACAGAGATCATGAGCAGAGGTGGAAAAACCCCAGTTTGAAATGGTTATATTAGCGATAGGAACAGATTCCACACTGGAGTCCAAAGATGACATTTATGTTCAGTCTTGAAGGTCATATGCTGTACATGTATAAGATTCATTTCCAGTCCTTGACATATCCAGATAATAATAATAATAAGGACTCTTGCTTCAGTCCTCACAGAGCCAATTCAAGTTGTTATGGACAAATGGGCAAATAAACCTACTATAAAGCTGTTTTGTTTGTCCTAATATATCCAATATTTTTTTAAAATACTTTCTAACCAGCTTTTTGTTCAATGGTCCCATGTAATCTGGGAAGCACCAGTTTATGGAGAAAACCGATTGAGGTGCTGACCTCTTTGGCATTCATAATATGATCATGACCAAAGCAATGTCCTTTCCTAATATACTAATTGATATACCATCATTGAACTGAAAACTTTGTATAGCACTCATGACAAATAGTTCTTGGCAGATCTATTTTTTGTGCAATTGCTTAATCTCCTTGTAAGCTAATGATCACCATCACACTCCATTTTTTAAAATTCATTATGTCCTTATTTCCTAGTAAGTATTACACTTATCTTACTGTTACAACTTGATGGAAGGCTGCTACTGGTTTTCCTTGGTTTCTGCAGACATTATTATTTCCATGTTTGTTTATTTTGTGCATCAATTTGGTAATGATACTGTGGACAACATTGTTTTTGCCTTCAAGAAATGGATGTGAACTAATTGAATATTATTTTATTTCTTTTTGCTGATGTCTTTGCAGGAAGCAGTCTCATGCTTCCCTGAGAAAGAGCAGCTGGCCCAGATTCAAAATGTTATCCAGGAACTTCCACCATCACATTATAGGTAAAAGAGAAGTAGTTATTGTGGGTTGCAGGCAGGTAACATCAGAAAAATATTCTTTATGCTGAGGTTGCTGAATATTGTCCTTTCTCTGTTTTTAATTAGTTAAAAGACTGAATAGTCCACTAATAGTCCATTAATCAAATAATTACTCAACAACTTAGCTATATTTTAAAATATATTTTAGTTACATGTTTAATGAAACAGACAGGATGTTACATTATCAGAACGAATCATCTCTGTTCCCCACCTATCCAGACCATCTTTTTCCTAGCAATGTTCTTCCAGTGCTTTTGTTTCATGGTTACTCATCTATTACTGATGTTTATTACTGTATTCAGGTCTCTATCACATCATTTTCAAATTCCAGGAAGCCTTTTATTCTCAATTAAAATATTTTCACTCATAAAACACTTTTTGTTTTGAGTCTTTGCTGTATAAGCATTGTTGTAGATAAATGCACAACCAGCTGGCTCTTCAGTCACATGTGGCTTCAAGATAATTCAGATGAGGTTTTACATAGCCCAGCTTAGATTTATTTTGTGTTTTCTCCTCATTCAGTTTCAGATGCTCAGTGGGAGAAACATTGTGGGTTTGTGGGGTCCCAATGCCTCCCAGTAGAGATAAGTGAGAATAATAATAAGAAAACATATATTTCAATGGAGAAGAGGAGTAAGTAGTTAACCAGTGCATTAGTAGCTAAAGTTGTAGACCAGAATGAGGAATGAGGAAATTGAAGTCTTCATAGCCCACATTTTACTGCAGCCCCCAGACCCTTTGGGAATTGGTGTTAAATTTATAATTAAATTTGTAATTGTAAATTTTAATCTGACATAAGACGGGAAATATGATTATATGCAGTGACCCATTAGCTGCAATTTATTAATTTAATTTAATTTTAATTTAAGACAATATGTAGATTTATTGGTGACTCGAAATCCCTTATGAACTTTTTGTATTTTAAAAAAGCCCGAACTTATGATTTATGGCTTTGATTATTAGACAGTAGAGAAAGAAGAAAGAAGGGAGTCACAATGTAACTTTAGAGAGAGAAGTCAATTTATAACTGTACTTGTAACTGCTATAAGAAAATGTATTCATATACTCAACATTAAGAAAACCAAAATCATGGCATCCGGCCCTCTCAATTCCTGGCAAATAGATGGGGAAGAAATGGAGGTAGTGACAGATTTTATTTTTCTGGGCTCAAAGATCACCTCAGATGGGGACTGCAGCCAAGAAATTAAAAGATGCTTGCTCCTGGGGAGGAAAGCTATGGCAAATCTAGACAGCATACTAAAAAGCAGAGACATCACCGTGCCAACAAAAGTGCGTATAGTCCAGGCCAACTGGTTTTCCCAGTTGCAATGTATGGCTGTGAAAGTTGGACCATAAGAAAGGCTGAGCGCCAAAGAATTGAGGCCTTTGAAATATGGTGCTGGAGAAGACTCCTGCGAGTCCCTTGCACTGCAAGGTGTTCAAACCGGTCAGTCCTAGAAGAAATCAACCCCGACTGCTCTTTAGAAGGCCAGATCCTGAAGTTGAAACTCAAATACTTTGGCCACCTAATGAGAAGGAAAGACTCACTGGAGAAGAGCATAAGATAACATAACCAGTCTGGAGAGCCTTCCTGAATGTCAAAAAGGACAGAGCTAATCTAATTTGGGGGGGGGGGCAGGAGAGAAAGTCCCATAATGCAGATGCCACTACTTTATATTATTTTTATTTCTGTTTTATTTTTCTGCTTTTTTTCTTTTTGTACTTCAGTTTTTTCTTCATTTTCCCCTTTTGCTCTTTTCTTTTTCTTTTGCTCTAGTTTAGTTTGTATTAGTTTTATTCTTGTGTTTAAAATTTTCAATAAAATTATTTTTTAAAGATCACTGTAACCCTAGTTACAAAATGATTGCACATCCAGTCACAATCCAGCTTAGTTTATATTGTCACCTTAAAATATACTCAATAATTGGCAGTACAGATTTTAGTTTAGACATTAGCATTATACTACTGCATGTTATATTAGTTGTACTTTTTCCAGATGGCCACTTATCCAGCACATTGATCTTGATTTGTCTTGACTACTTTATTTCAGGACCCTGGAATACTTAAGCAAGCACCTGGCACTTCTGGCTTCCTTCAGCAGCATGACCAATATGCATACTAGGAACCTGGCTTTAGTGTGGGCACCTAATCTCCTTAGGTATGATAAATGCACTTACTGTTTTTCTTTTTCCTAAAGGCAACACTGACAAAGTTAATGGAAATATATAGCCAGTGCTTTTTTTGTTAAAAAAAAAAAAAAAGGTGCCGGAACTCACGCATGTCATACAACCAGCCTTGCCTACCCTACAAGGTACCATCCCAAAAAGTGCCAGAACTCCGTTCTGGGTGTTCTATGACAAAAAAAAGCCCTGTATATAGCAGATGTACACATAGAAACTTTGTGGACAAATCCAGCCGTAGAAGAAAAGCATTCAATCAAATATGATTGTGAACGTGAATCTCAGCAACTTGTTCTTTGTTTTCCCATTTCCATGGCCATAAAAATTGAACAGGTGTTCATATATAATTCAGTACCATGTTTTCTGAGAAAAAGTAAATATCTGAAAAAGTTGCAAATCTAAAAAATTATAAAATGTGTATTTTAATAAAATATTTAAAATCAAGAGTACATGCAAACTTATTTTTAAAACATATATATGATGTCATCACAGGTTTGAAGGCTTGAAAAAATGTTATGATTTAAATCTTGAGTTAAGTCTTAGTGGTCCGTGGCAACAAAAGATATTTGAAGGAGATCTGTGGTGAAGAAAAGGTTGAGAACCACTGATATAGGCCATGACTGATATAGGCCTGTTTTTTTGAGTTTTTCTCAAAGTATAGTAAAATGATTGCTGAGAAATTGGCTATAGTTCCACAGTATTTTGCAATGGGGCATGAAAATGGTATTATAACTCCTAAAATAGACTTTGTATAGATTTTTTTTAAAAAACAAAAAATCTCAGACACATCCCCTCTAAATTAGGAAAGAAACTGCAAAATCTCAACTCTATGTTGTAACCATGCCCATTTGTCAGATGCATCTGTGTCCTCATTAAAAGGCACAAGAAGAAATGGAAAACACATATACACACATACACCCACTTTTGTACTGAAGTTTCTAGTATTAGGTATAGCAATAATTCTCAAAGAGTATTGGGCACATCCAATACAATATTTCTCCAAGCAGCAATATACTGAAATGAATTTGATTATGCACAGATCCATTTGTTTCATGTAGTTTTGGAAACAAGCTTCTCTTTAGAATTATCCATTGTGTGTATGCAACATAATGTATGAACTACTGCTAAGAATGAGTTTGTTCAAGGATACCAATCTGGTCAGCAAGATGCTCAGGGTTAGAGCCTCAGAAAATACAAGGTAGAACTTGTCTCCATCTTTGCAATGGGTTGTTGAACTACTCCAAAATTTAATTGTGTCTCCTGCATAGTCCATCTTTTTTCTTTGGGGTAGGGTGGTGGTGGTGGAAGCTACACTTTTTTTATATAAATATGGATCCCAAAGGAAAATGAAAAGTAACTGTACCTCCCTTACAAGGCTATCCTGTTGAAGGAATCCCTTCTGAGTTTTATCTAGCACTTCAGCCATTAGCTTTACAAAGGATTGTGTTGCGCAGAGATAATTTCTTCAGCAACACTTTGGCATGTCAAGATAAGAAAAAAATTATCTGCTCCTACTTTTTGGATAGATGGGTGAAACTGGAGTCAGAAGGAGAGATTATTTCGGCCAAACCATTTATGTGATGAAAAACACAAAGCAGACTTTAAAAAAAAACCAAACTCACAAAATCCATCAAACTGAATTGTTTTCTGATCTTTTCCCCTCCTTTCCCACTTGATGCTTTGAAGTGATGGTTCTACTCAGAGATAACTTAAATCCTGTGCGTCAACTTGAACTGCAGCAGTCCCAGCTCTACATAGAATTGCTAAACCAATGATCAGAATGTTGCCTAGAAAATGGCTCATATGCCTCTTGGAAAGGGATTGTTAAGGTCTGTTGTTACAATTAGGCAGAATTCTGAAGATCCTGGGGCATCCCTCCTTGCATCTTTACTACTAATCTGGTATAGTAGAGGGAGGCTTGCTGTAACGTTATATCTTGTATTCACATTAATGTGCTTGCTATGCATTTTAAAACTCTTGTCTTCACTCTTTGCTGTACAGAAATGGGACATAAATTTCTGCCACTAGGCAGCAGATTTAAAGTAGCACAGCTCAGATAAGAATTTCATCAGAATGTTCTTTGAAGTAATCTGAAACAATCCTTGCTTGTGTACGCTGTTTATTTTTGCTGACATAATATTGTTGGCTGAGATATGTTTCATGTTTGATTATGTCTTGTGCTATTTTATTTGTCTAGTGTGCCATAAAACAATGGTGCCTTGTTGATTTATAGCATTTCATCTTACTGTTCTTTTAGGAAGCTGAAATGACAATCAAGCATTCCCCTCCTCCGCCCATTTCATCTCATGCAACAATACTGAATGTTCATGCTTTAGTTTGGCCAGCTTAAAAAATGCTAACAGGATCAGCTGGAGTAAGGAATCTGATGAGATGGAAAATGCTTCTTTCATAACTGATATTTGCTTTAGAAGGAAAGCAGCTATAATCATCATTATCCTTGACATGCCCCCACCTCCAATTGATATTAATTGCCCTTTTAAGAAAAGACTCATTAGATATTATGTTAAATCTATTTCATCTGGAGAAATATTTGCTAGCTTTAGAATATGTACTGTGGGCTTCTTATCTGAAGAGAGATTTCACATGGAGCCCCTTGTTCCTAATCTGATATTCTAATCATTGTACCATATTGACTGACTGTCCTCCTAGGTTTAAGAAATTATGGGTGTTGAAGGCTACACATCTGAAGGATACTGTTTAGGGGAAGGATTATTAAAACTGCCATTGCAACATTTGATAAAAGCCAGTGAAATCAATGGGAGTTTTTGTCACATTCTTTCAAACCTTGACTTAATGAGGTCTAGGGAAGCGGCTTGCTATATTGTACTTCATCTTTGTTCATATATTTTGGTCTTCTTTTTATAAAAGCTTAGTAAAGAAACTTTGTTAACTAAGCAAATCAATACACTAATCCCTGTACAAAAAAAACCCCATCTAGGTAGTTGAATCTCTTTACTGGGTGGGCTATTCTTGAGATTTCTTTTTTCTTACACAACAACTGTTCTTGCACCAGGATTGTTCTGAGCTGCAAGTTCCACTCAGGAAACTGTTCTTTTCAGCTACAATCTGTGATCCATTTTAATTCTTCCCTTGCTGTCCTTCTAAAAATGTATAGTTTGATTCCACCATAAGTTGATTATTATCATTTGTCTCACCTAAAAGAGTAATAAAGAATTATGAGCATAATAAAGCCCATGGAACTTCTCTTTTAAGATGTTCTCCCAGATTCAGAGTCTAGTCCTGAAAAGAGGGGGGAATTGCTCATTGAAAGACACACTGCAGTGTTTAAAGACTGCCTGCAGCCTTTTGTTGCATCTTTGAAGGATTCCTGGCTCTCCAAGGCTTCGATGGACCTTTACAAAAAGTTGTCCCCTTTGCGCAGCACTTAAGTTTCAAAGAAAACTTTATGAACTCTAGTAGAGGAAATCTTAATACCCAATTGCTCTGGTTTCTGAGAAGGGAGAAGAATTTGGGAGGACTATGTTTGAACAGAAGATATGCAAGTATGGTTCTAAGGCCAAACCATTACTCTGCTTTAGCTTAGCTTTGTTAGTGTTGGTCTATGATGCACCCATTGTGGCATGGTATTCCTAAAACAGTTGTCTGGAGACAATTTGAAATTGTCTATCCTGACTCTTCGTATTTTGAAGCGAGCAGTGCAGATTCTGTGTGATTGGCTTTATTTTGCTACCCAAGAACATGTTGGTAAATAGAAGGGTACTTTGGACTAAAGGGATCGACTTCATCCTGTCTTTCCATAAATTGACTATGGTATGTCAACCATTTATTTTAAATCTTTTATAGAAAAGAGACCATGTCATTTAAAAGGTACCGGTACTTCATGTAAATCGTGTATAGCTGATTTATGCATGTCTGTCGTGTAAGAGAGGAGAAATGAAAGGAATGCAAAACAAAAAGGTTTATAGTTAGTCTGTGGATAAAATCTCTGCTGCTTTTACAGTTGCAGACATGGATTATTAAGACATTTAATTCTCTTGTTCACAAGCAGTCCCTTGGTGGTGTGATGTTTTGTTGTTCTTCTAACTGCTTTTCTGGTTGTGCTTAGATCAAAGGAGATTGAGGCGGTGGGCTGCAATGGAGATGCAGCTTTCTTGGAAGTGCGAGTCCAACAGTTGGTGATAGAGTTCATACTGAACCATGTGGATGAGATCTTCAGTGACAACATTTGTGTCAGGCCAAAGGATAATGAAGGTAATTCCTTCTCAGCTATTTTCTCTTATATCAGCAATGACCTCTTTTGGCCAATAAACTTAATTCTTTCCAGCACATAATCTATTTACATTACTTTTACTATTTGGGTCTTGTGGGGTACTCATTCAGAACATCTGAATCCTGATTCTATTGAAAAAAGAAAACAGAAGAAGGAAATGAATGGCATCTATATGAATAATTTTTAAAACAGAATTTGACCATGAACTATTTTGATGTGACTAATATAAAGCCTGACTAATAGTGGACAAATATCTGCTATCTCAGTTTGTACAGTTAGTCCTCAACTTATGACCACAACTGAGCCCAAAATTTATGTTGTTAAGTGAGAAATTTGCTAAGTGAGTATTGCTCTATTTTATGACTTTTCTTGCCACATTTGTTAAGCAAATCACTGCAGTTGTTAAATTAGTAACACCATTGTTAAGTGAATCTGGCTTTCCCATTGACTTGTCACATGAGCCTGGGACACTGCAGCTGTCATAAATATGAACCAGTTGTCAATGTAATTCACATGACCATGGGGATTCTGCAACTGTCATAAGTGAAAAATGGCCATAAGTCAATTTTTTCAGTGCTATTGTAACTTTGAATGGTCACTAAATGAACTGTTATAGGTCGAGGACTACCTATAACTTTTTTGTCCTTTAAGACTTTTTAAAATTGCTTTCAGAACCATTAGTAGGTTTGGGAAGATGCAAGATTTACCAAACCCTTAATTTATGCACAAAAGGAATAAAGGCACAAAATCCTCAATTCACATTGGAACAAAAGTTCCAAATATTCTTATTCATTAAAGACTGAAATATGGGGATGTAGGGAGAAGTCTCAGTTTTCATTGCTCTCTTTTGTTGCTCTTTTCTCTTGATCTTGCAGTCTGATTACTTGAGAAAGCAAAGAGAGAGAGGATGGAAAAGAGAATTAGCAGCTGGGAGAACATTGTCCTAATGTATGTTGTTACAGTAACTCATCATACCAAAAAGGTATAGGAAAAGTCCTGAGATACTTGGTTAAAATTTATCAACTATTATAAATTGACATTTTAATAGGCTGGTGGGCACATTTTAATATTAGACAATACTGCCATCACTAAAATGAATGTCATGCAGTTTCTCCATCCACAGATTGATGGGTATGGCCTGTCATAAAGTTTCCATTTAATAGAAGATAGTGAAACTAGTGAGGTTGCTCCTGACATCACTAGTGTCTCAAATGTCCTCTGATCCCTGATTATTTTGTCTTGTTCCTGAGCATGTGGGTATATTTCCAAATAAAGTACCAAGTTGCAATCTCCACACTTATTTTTGCTAAGACTATTGTGAAGACCAGAAACCTTCTTGGGAAAAGAAATTATATTAGCAGCTGACACCTTGATTTTTACTTTGTCAGTTTCTGATACATCAAGTTTTGGATTAAAACAGTATTTTTAAAAAAACAAGTGAAGTATGGCAAAGAGTATATTTTATGCCAAGAAAGTTGTTTGCAAATATGTTACCACCTATGGGTGGTATATAACCCAGCCTTCTGCTGTTTCACTAGCTAGAACAGCCATCATGCTGAAAAATCAATTTAGCAGTAGTTCTGTCCCATAACAATCTTAAAAAAGAAAAAAAGGTGTAAATAGTACGGGCTCATAAGTTGCAGCTGCTGGGTGGACAGGCTGCTTTAAATTGTTCCTTTCTGGCAGCTGTTAGTGGCAAAACATTCAGTAAGGGATTATTTTCACCATATATCATGCGTAGTACTCAATAAAAGTTGCAGACCTGTTATAAGAATATCCTAGCTCTCTTATAAACTGTTTATATAAATGGTGTATAACATGATAAAAGCTTTCAGAAGAGACCATTTTAATAGTTTCTATATAATATTTAAAACAAGATCCAAATGTATTTAAAATTAAATGCAAAACCATTATTCAAATTGTATAATAACACAATCATTAGACTTTTTTCCCCTTTCAATTCAAGTCTATTCTGTTTCATTCTTGTTTAATCTGGGTTTGTCCTCCAAATGTGTTTGGAAGTGAGCTTTCTTTGCTATGGCTTTTCCAATAAATCAATTAATCACACAGCTAATTAGAAGAAATGCTAAAATGCCAATTTTGAAACTGGGAAAGGATTTGTGTGTGTGTGTGTGTGTGTTTTGAGTTCTAGGGCTGCAACTTCCTACTTCCTTCTAACAATAGCAGTCAGTGTTAAATAGGAAAAACAGCAACAATATTCAGAACAAATTTCCAAAATAATTTGGATGGGAGAGAAGAATTGCTTCATCTTCAAAACTAGAAAAAGACCTTAGTCTTCCCAAAGTTCAGCACAAATAAAGAACCTCATTTTCAGAAGATGCATGCCAAAGCACTGTGGAGTATGGCTGCTAACCAAGGGACTATTGGGGTAGAAGGCAGGGTGCTGGATTACATTATTGGGTAAGAAGTGAATTTGTTCAACAGTCACATTTGCAAACAATGTCACTGGGAAAGTTTATTCATTAAAGGCAGTACTTGAGAAGTCTAATGCTGTTCCATTTTTCTCTCCCATTCCCACCTTCCATCCCATCCCATCCCATCCCAAATTAGGCTAGATTCTAATGTATTTTCCTTCTGTTTTCCAGAGAATAAACTTGTGATGAAGAGCCTAACTTTACCTTCCACCTCTCTGCCAATGAAGCTGGTGAGCTTGGAAGAAGCTCAGGCCCGAAGCCTCTCAGCCTGTCACCCTGCCCGCAAAGAACGAAGGGAGAACAGCTTGCCAGAAATTGTTCCAGCCACAGGCTCCTTTTATCATACCGTCCTTGATCTACCAGACAGCAAGTAAGTGTTCCTTTTTTAAAATATCTGAAAACTGAACACAAAAGACAAATAGGGCCCTGAAAAAGCATATAAATTTAATAAATAAATAAATAAATATCATCCCAGGGTGTACCATTGTCTAACTGAGAGTTCCCCAATGTTTCCAGCTTTGCGGACCAGTGGGGGAAGGGGGAGAAGGGATGGTTCCAAATGAGTAGCTGGCAAATGCACACGCGCACACATAGCTCCATTTGCATGAGCAGCATAAGTGAGGATATGTGTGTCTGCTACTTGCATGAGGATGTGTGTGGATGCATGCTTGCATGCTCGCTGGCCATTTCCATGGCCCAGTTGCAATCCCCTCATGGTCCACTCGTGGGCTATGGCCCACGGGTTGGGGATCCCTGGTCTAACCTGCCTTCTTTGGTGCTTTGAGACATCTTGTTAGATGCAATTGGTGTGCAGCCAGTTTGCACCAACTATAATAGTGTACAGCCAAGCACTATCAAAGAAACACTCCATCACCGATTTGATAGTTTCCATGAGTAAGCTTAGTGCAGTTTTGGGAGGAAGAACCATATTCCCCAGCACTTTATAGATATATCAAAACTTGGAATATGTGCTAAAAATACATAGGCTTTTCCCATTAATTCTTCAACATTGCTGTGAGAAGGATAACATTAAGGCCCTTGTCAATGTCAGTACCTCCAGTATCAGGCAGACAGATGGATACAGGAATAGTTTTTCTGCTTTGCTTCATTTCAAATGTTTAATCAGCAGGAGTGGAAGGCAAAGACTTGAGGCACCTGTGATGAGACAGCCATCTACTGGTAACCTTTCCCAATTGCATTTGCAATATCTACCTTAATCTTCATTCTTTATTAGTGTAGCGTATTCAATATGTCTATATTTTACTCTTATGCATAGTTAGATATCGTTGAAAGATGGCAAAAGCTGTTATGTAAGACTTATGCTATCTAGCCTTAATGGAATTGTCATCAGTACTTTTTAGATACTTGTATTGCTGTTGGCATGTGACATTTGATCATGTTTCCATAATATAAATTAGGGTCTGAATAGCCACATCTTTGTATGAGTAATAAATTCTGAATCCCATAAAGCATTAGCATGAATGGCAGACTGTACTGAACTTAGAGGCCTGACATCAAATGTTATTTTACCCATACTTTTATTGGGTGGAGTTGGCCAGTCATAAAGGGCCATTTCCCACATCATACATAATATAACATATATAATTAGTGGGAAAGGGAAAGCAGTCATTTTCTGGGTCAAACTGTCTAGCCTCTTGGCTACTCTGATGGCAAGAGCCCTCTGTGTTTCAATTCAAAGCCTTCACACCATCTGCTACCTGATCATTTTTAGCTGGAGATGCTTGGGTCTTTCCTGGCTACAACTGTGAAAAGCGGTAAAATAAAGTCTGAGAGGAAATGAAGGCAAACAAAAAGGACACATTAAAAACATATTAATCTTAACTGTTAACCATTGCTATTTATTTACAGATCTTTGATTTTATCTTTTAGGAGAAAATTATCCACAAAGTCCAAGAAATGGAAGTCTATTTTTAATCTGGGGCGGTCAGGATCAGAAGCTAAGACTAAACTGAGCCGCAATGGAAGTGTGTTTGTTCGAGGACAAAAAGTCTCTGGTAAAGACTCCCAATGGCCTTCATTAATATAGCTTATCTTTTCTTCCTTAGCTTGGCCTTGCCTAACAGGAAAGAAAAATGTTCCAGCATTTTGCAAAAGATCATTCATGCTAATAAAGTAACAAGGATTAAAAACCAGTATGAATGATGCTTGACAACAGCAGGGGGGAGATTGCATATTTAACCTCTTGCATCATGCCAAGTATCGCTTCAGTAGGACAATAAAAGGCAGTCATATCCCAAAGCCTATGAAATTCTTGCTGTGAATACTGTCCATTATTTTACTGTGTTGAGCATGCATTTCTGAATCCGCTGAATGCATGCACAGGAAGAGGTCAAATGTGCGTCTGCCCAAGCTGTTACTAAGAATATGCCTAGGCCAGTCATTTTATTAAGGAGTCCCAGAAAATGTGTCCATCTCATCTTGTCTGGGGTTTCTGATTAGAATCCTTATGAGATAATCAGTATCTTATTAAAGAAATGTACTGGCTCCCCTCCAACAATCCTTGTAGAGCAAAGAAGATACAATTACTATAAGTAGCTTGAAAAAAAAATATTTACTACCAGACAAATACCTTACATGAAGTACAGATGTCCAAACAGTTGTCACAATGAGGAAGGATGAGGAAAATAATCCAGTCTTGATTAACAGCCCAACATTCTGCTTAGGGAGAAGATAGCGGGCTCCTTGAATAAAAGAACAATGCACAATTATTCATTGTTTATGAATAAGCAACTCAAAAAATATTTGCAAAAAACGTATCTCTATTTTGGCAGATAAATATACTGAATAAAACGTGCCTTTTTTCATTGTGCTAAAAAAAAAGTTAAGAAAGCATCGCACCTCCTATACCTTGCTAGCTGGTAAACCTTAGCTTTAGCTATAAATTAAAGCTAGAGCTGTATATATTCGCAGGATATTGAATCTTTTTTTGCTTTGCAGCTGCACTTGTTAACAATTTTCATTTCCGTATGTGTGGTTATATTTCAAACATTTTACACCCTTTCTTTCTACAGAGAAAGCAACCATTCGACCAGCTAAAAGCATGGATTCACTTTGTTCACTTCCAGTAGAAGGTAAGGCTTGGTCAGTGTGCATCAAATATGGAAAAGTCAAAGATTTACCCATTCTTTCAGCGTTTTTATAGGAGAAGCTAAATTTCTGTAATTTTGATGGACCTACTGGATATCTGTTTATATTAATCTGTTTATTTACTGAAAACATTTTGTGGGGTTTGTAGCCTGCAAATGCAGTCCTGTTCATAGAATCAGCAGGTTGGAAAACCACCAAAAAGTACTTAGTTGGGTTATGGTCAGAGAGAGTGTTGGAGTAGTCACTTGCCTTTCTCCATCATCTCCTTTTTCTAGATGAACTCATAGTTCAAGAAAAAAAAGGCAGGATTTTCACTATTGTTTATGCAAAATGTATTCAGTTGCTTGAATAAGAGGAGTTTCTTTTAGGATACTTTACTCAAAAATTTATGCAGTCTGAGAGATTTGTCAATCTTAGGACAATTTTCCAGTCTGTGTGGTATCATCTACCACTAGCGGAGGCCATTTTCTCATTGTGAAATTTATGAGATGAATAGGAACAACCTCTCCACAGTAATCCATGCTTCACAATCTCCTATGCTTCTGAGATACACTTTGTGTGGAGCTGCTGTTGAAGATGGTTCGGAGTTTGCAATCTGTGCCAAAGGCAGTTACAGACTTGTAGACTACAGTACTTAGTTAATGCAAGGCCACTTAATATAAATTCTTAATAAACTGCATTAGTTGACTCTGATCAACCCCAATTCAGAGGATTAATTTTAATATATAAAGCTGCAAATGGTTTAGGATTTGGTTAACCTCAAGGAATGCCTCTCCCTTTATTTTTGTTTCTGCAACATAAAACATCTTTTCAGAAATAGCCTGTTTTAGGGATCATCCAATTACTAGAGGAAGACTGGATTCATAGGAATGCCAACCACAACTGTGGAACTTATTTTTCCTCAGAAATTAGATTGTTGTCAGTGTTGAGATACTGGAGTTTTGGGTCTTGGATTAAGGAATTCTAACCAAACCTTTTGATTAAAAATTGGACCAATGTCAAAATAGGTTGATATTTCTTTTATTTTGATCAACATGGGAACATTTTTCCAGAGTGAAAGGTTGGTTATAAGAAATTATATTTAAAATTATATTTAAAACAATCTAGAGATAAACCTTATTGTGGTTATTACTACTTCAGAAAAATGTTTTGTGGCAAGCTGTTGCTTTAGTGCAGCAGTTCTCAACCTGTGGGTTGCGACCCTTTTGGGATCGAGTGACCCTTTCACAGGGGTCGCCTAAGACTATCGGAAAACATATATTTCTGATGGTCTTAGGAACCGAGACACCGCTCCGCATCCATCTCAGCATAGCCTCCTCTGCCATTTGCAGAGAGAGAGAGAGAGAGAGAGAGAGAGAGAGAGAGAGAGAGAGAGAGAGAGAGAGAGAGAGAGAGAGGCACTTTCGCTTCCCTTCTCTCTCTCTCTCAGGCAGACTTACCTCCTACAGGGCTCCTGATTGGCCTTGTGTCCTGGTGCCCCACCCCCTTGGAGAAGCGCAGCCAGGGCCTCACGGCCTTGGAGCTGCCCGGGGAAGCCCCAGGATACCTGCTGGAAGTGGCCCGCTGGAGGCTCCGCTGAGCAGGCCAGCCCTCCTGCAAGCCACGGCCCAAGGGAGACCAACCCCTGCAATCCCCAGCCAGCCCGAGCATTGGCCCCAGTGGCCGGGAAGGCGCACCGGAGTCCAGGCTGCTGGGAAGGAAGTTCAGCAAAGGTAGGAGAGGAGAGCCGCCTCCTGGCTTCCTTGCCATCCTCTTCCTCCTCCCCTTCTTCCTCCTACTGTCCCCCAGGCGGCTCGGGCAGGCACTAGGGCAAAAGGGGTGCCTGGGGGGAGCAGGCAGGCTGGCAGAGGGGCTGGCAGGGGCCAATGGCACCAGCCCCCACCGCTGCTCCATCAGATGGGCGGAGGGCGAGGCCGGGCAGCGCGGAGTCCCAGCTGGGACGGCAGCAGCAGTTTTCTCGCCCTTCTCCTCTCCTTCCTCCTGCTGCCCCCAAGGCAGCTCGGGCAGGCTCTGGGAGGAAGAGGGGTGCCTGGGGGGGAGTATCCAGGCTGGCGGAGGGGCTGGTGGGCTGCACAGCACCAGCCTCCACCTCGGCTCCATCGATGGATGGAGGACGAGGCCGGGCAGTGGCCGCAGCAGTGGCTGCCACTGCCGTCATAGCCTCTGCCTCCCGTCCTGCTCCCCCTCCCCGCCCGTTCAGCTGAGGACACGGCAGAGGCTGGGCCGGGGGCAGCGGCGGCCCCCGATGATGCTGCCATAAGATAGAGAGAGAAAGAAAGAGAAAGAAACAGAGGAAAAGAGAAAGGAAAGAGAGAGATAAAGAGAAAGAGAGTGGAAAGAAAGAGAGAAAGAGGGAGAAGAATGGCGCTTCTCCAACCAGGCTGGGCAGAACCAGCGGAGCGATCATCCTGCCCCCCCTCCCCAGCCAGCTGGATGGGGGGGTTGGGGGTCACCACAACATGAGGAACTGTATTAAAGGGTCGCGGCATTAGGAAGGTTGAGAACTACTGCTTTAGTGTATATCACACTAGTATGGGGGTAAGGGAGAAGAGGGAATAGTGAGAGAGTTTTTTCATATTTCTTCATGGGTGTATGTGAAATCCACTTTAATAGATTCAGAGATGAAGAGGGAGACAGAGAGAGTGAGGAAAGGTTGCAGAAATCCAGAGAAAGGTTGAGGAAAAATATAAATGGTTCTCTCATTTTCTTCCCTTTTTCACTGCCTCCCAAGTTTTATATTTCATCCTCTCCATCTTTTAAAACAATTTTATGGCTGGTGCCCTTGGCTTAGAAAAAAGATAGAGAATTGAGGAGGAAGTGGAACATACTCCCTTTACTCCAAGTTTCTCTTTTACTGAATGTAATTTTCCCTATCTCTGTTTCCAAATAGACAGTAGATGAAATCCATGACTGGGATACAGAATACAGATCTGCAGATACCAAAGCAGATCATGATGACTGCTTTTGAAATTATAATTGTAAAGGGGGAGAGCTTAGTGGTCTAACAGAAAATTGAATCTTGCCTAGCAAATAGAGTACAAGGAAAAGGCTCTCTTTAAGTCAGCCTGACTACTCTCAATAAAGTATTTACCACAGGATTATAGTATTTGTGAGCTGGCACAAGTGATAACCATATATCATAATTTCCCAATGCAAACTTTGTCATTTGTGTACTTGTATTTGATACAGTGATGCAAGTATGAAAGGCCAACATTTTCATCATGATGTTGCAACACAATTCTCATCATTTTTTCCTCATCATGGTTTGTACCAAGTGCTTATGTAAAAGATCTCCTGAAAGTTGGCTTTTTCTAGGCCATTATAAAGATGGACCAGACTTTTGAAGGGCATATTAATCTCTCTGTGCACTTTAAAAGAAATAGTGGATAGGACTAAAGAGTTCTATCTGGCCAAGAATTCAAACTAGCCTAGAATGAATAGTCGTGTAGTCCTTAGATAACTTCCAGATGTCCATTTTGATCCCAAAGTTGTACCATAATTTGTGGTATTAATTTTACTCCAAAGAAGCAAAATAGTATCAATCTACCATTATTTTTTTCTTTTAAAGTCTCTTTAGATTCTTCTTTTCCTGGTCCATAAATATGAGTGAGTCACTGCTTCACCAGACATGTGTCTGTGGCCATTCAATAATTAAAACAAAAAGAAACAAATTAATAAACAATGTATAATCCAGGCCAAAAAAAGATTGATGATCTATGAGAGATCAGACTGCCAAAATTCATCTTCGTTTTCTTCTATCCTTAGGAGAGGATGAAAAAAGTCATTTCAAGCGCACAATCATGACCGGAGGGTTTTTTGTTCCAGTGATGAAACCACAAGTGGGGGGACCTAGCAGCTCATTTGACCTCAGCAAACAGAACACAGAGTGGGATCTCAAAGGTGCTATGAAAGGAGCAGAGGGAGGAGCAGAGGATAATGCAGAGAACCATATTCCACAGCCAGCCCAAATGAAACCACTTCCTGAACAACTGAAGGTATTCCGCCCCATTGAAGACCCTGAGAATGAGCAAACGTCCCCAAAGATGTGCCGTATGTTCTATACTTCAAATGATGGGACACCCAATTTGGGATTCCATGGGACACTATTCCCCTTGGAAGCATCTCCCCGTCACCAACATAAAGCCTTGAATATCTCAGAGCCCTTTGCTGTCTCGGTACCCCTTCGAGTATCTGCAGTCATCAGTATCAACAGTACACCTTGTCGTGTGCCTGTTAAAGACAAAGCAGCTTTCTCTGGTCTTCAAGAATGTTCTTTTCTGGGAAAAGAAAGTGCTGCCTCTTTAGTCCCTGAAGATGACAACCATGACCAATTAGAGCATATAACAGTAAAGGAAGAAAAGAAGTCTGAGTCCAAATCCATAACAGGTAAGCTTAGAATAAGGATTGATGATGTTCCAGGGGATGTTGAACAGCTTATCTCTAGCATGGCAAATGATCAAAAGTATGAGATTTATAATCCAACAACATTTGATAACAGTTGTGCACCCTGACTTAGAAAAGACTGTAGTAATTTGTTCACAACAGAGACCCCCAACATGGATAATAGAAAATATCTGAAATATTGAGAGCAAAATATTTGCCACATGTGGTTTTTCACAACATTGCTTTCTTGGTGGGAGCATACCAATAAAAAGTGTCAGTTTTCCTGAGTACCTATTGCTCTCTCTGTCCATCCATTCCTTTATTCTTTTTGCTAGTGAAAACTTAGATATATTTATAGTGGTTAAAAAAACTAAAATTGGCAAAAGAAAAGCTAATTAATAGAAAAAACAATCCTTATCATAATTATGAATAGCAATTTAAAATTGATATACTCCTTCAAGCTTGTTAAATCACAGAACAATGCATTGTGGCATCTTAGCATTTTTATAATATAGAGATTTTTCAAAATAATAGATATCAATCTTATATCCTGGCTCTATTCTTTAAAATCAGAAAAGTAAGGTATTTTTTCCAGTTACATAAAATTGTTAAAAATATCCTGTGGAACAGAGTGCCTTTAGGAACACATGGGTGACTTTGTATTGGAGATCCCAGAGCTTGAGGATGTTATGAAAACCTTGCCTGCAGTGATACAGCTGGAGTGATCTTTTTACTTAGTTATTAATGGAACAAAAGGGAAGTCTCAGTAGTAGACTGAAATTAACTGTCAAACAAGTTATTACGTGTACTTGGAAGAACATGAACACAGAAGGAAGTTTTAGAAAGGATCAATTGAGGCAGGAAAGCTCCTGGCAAGTAATGGGTTAAGCTTCCCAAATTGTTTTCCTCTCTAAATCTCTTTTCATTAAAAAATATAATAAAAAATCAGAGTGTCGCATTTTATATGTTTATTATATATATCTAGATTTCCTCTTAAATCAGATTACTGCAATATCCTGAACCTCTAAAGCAGATGCTGGCAACACAGTTTCCAAGAGTTCCAGGGCGTCTATTACATTCTAAAATATCTATAATGATTTGCCAAATAAATGAAATAATGTTTTTGAATAATTAAATGGCCAATTTTCAAAGATTCTGGTGTTCAGAGACTTCATGGCCAGTTTTCAGAGAGGTATGTTCAAATCTATGCTTTAGCGTGCTTTTTCTTTGGACAAGTAAACAGAAAGAAAAACAGCCTCAAAAGGAAACTTCCAGACAGATATATATGTCCAGGTATGAGATCTCATTAAATGCTAGACTTCTTGTATAGATGTCACAAGAATCCAGTGTGAGGTTGCAAAGATAATGATCTCATGAAAATTTAGGCAATAAAAATAGTTATGCCATCACTGAAGTTAAAAGCTTGAAACTGTTAAAAAACTGTATATTTAGAGATGTTGGAATGTGAAGGATCATGACTCCTTGCCAAAGCATACACTATATATGTAAAAGAACCCAGATTCAGTATGTGCCACTTTCAGTGAGATGGCAATAATGTTGAATGTACTGTATGAAAAATACTGGAGGAGCAAGAATAATTATTGGCAAAATGTAGCTAGTTTCATGTATCTGTAGAATGTTCAGATCAGGGGCACACCAGTATATACTGTAGAGAAGAAATCATGGCTTATTACATATAATTACGCTGCCAAGCATACTTAAAGGGCATTGTTCATCTCACAGCTGTATAATAGTTCAGGCACAGTTGACTTCAAATTATCTGTCCTTAAGATAAACTCAAATTGAGAAGTGCATAAATCCAGTAACAAAATAAAGACGGCTTCCATTCATAACCAGAATAGAAAATCATTTTCATTTTGAAAACCAGACATATATATGTCTGGAAACTTCCTTTTCAGGCTGTTTTTCTTTCTGTTTACTTGTCCAAAGAAAAAGCACGCTAAAGCATAGATTTGAACATTTCCATTTGCTGTTCTATGCAGATTCATTCTGAAGAAAGATGTCTGATTAATTCGCTAAATTTCATAAATGCATGGACATTCATTGTTGTAGACATGGTTGAATAGTGCCACATTTTAAAAGAGATGGGTTGTATATAAGCTTATTGAAATTATGGTTAACTCTGTGTTGATGTGTAGCTAGACACTTCCACAAATCTCTTGGAAACTTGGGGCTGTGATAATCTATGTCTCCACAAGGTGGTTTTATTACTTATTATCACATGGGTCTTTAATCAACCTCTTGAAATCAACCACAGCTGATTTAGTTATCATGAAGAGGCCTTTTGATTTGCGAAGATAAAATACATCCATTCATGACAGTATAGTAGGGTTTCTATCTTTTTTAGTTTTTTAATTAAAGTTTTATAATGCATATAAAAATAACACAAACTAATAACAAAAATGGTAAAGAAAACAAAAAGAAAGAAAAAAGCAATAATACAGAAACCATAAAAAATAGAAAGAAGATTCCAATTTGTTTGCATCAAATAGCAATACAATTGCAAAATTCACCCTTATTCTATTATTACAAAACAGCTTACTTTTTTCTATTATCCAGGGTTTTTTCATCAAAATCACAAATCATAAGTACATTTTTTTTCTGTTTCATGCAAAAAGTCCATAAATTTCCAGTCAGCCAAAATGTTGACATTGTTTTTTTTCTCTAATCAAAGAGATTAATGTAACTATCTCCACTAGTTCCATAATATTCACACACCATTTCTCCATTATAGCTTGTGTCAATTGTTTCTACTTTTGAGTATAAATAATATCATTCCGCAACTTTTTTTTCCAATTGCTTTTCCATTAGTTCCCAAATGAAAAGTCTCTGATTTCAGCTGTACTTTAACCTTTAAAATCTTCTGCATTAATCCATGTATTTGTATCAAAAATGTTTGGCTTTCTTACATACCCACTAAGCAAGATAAAATCTCCCATCTTCTTCATATTTTCAGCAAAGGTTTGAAAAACCTTTATACATTCTAGATAATTTCTCTGATGACAAATATAAATGATACATCATTTTATAAAAAGTTAGGTCTGAAATTAGAATGTAATGTAAATTTCAGTCCTTTCAACCACATATTTTCCTATAGTTCAATTGTATCTTATAGTTAATTTTTTTACTCATTTTATTATACATTCTTTTAACTTGGTCTTCTACTGTTTCATATTTCAGCAAAAATTTCAGAAATGACATGTTCATCAGAAAAGACAGTATTCTGTAGCTTTCAGCCCCAGATAAGGTTGCCTACCAGTTTGAAGCTGCCATCCCAGTATGATACCTTCCAAATAACACTGGAACTATCGCCATATGCAGTCAGTCTCATATTGAGGAACATTGATTTAGAATAGTTGGCCTTTTAATTATACAGTTTCTTCATCTTCTTTTGATTGTTTTGTTTTCTTCTTATAAGATGTGTATATCTGCCTTTTGTTCTTTATATAGATTCTACTATTGAGAAAATTGCCATTGTTAAGAAGCTGGAGTCTGTAAGTATCCCTCAAGCAACAGTGGAGACAATGAGTGGTGGCAACAACTGCAGCCAACCTTTAAAAGATAAGCTCCCCCTGGAACAGGACTCCCTGGTTATAATTTCTGCAAGCCAGCAGCAGACAGATAAAGCAAGTCAAGACCAGTTTGAGGCTAAGGACATATCAGAACAAATTTGCTGGCCAACGGAGCTATCAATAGATAAAGCAGAAGATAAATCACATCTAAAGGAATTGGTAAGAAAAAGTATTGAAAGCCTTCTTTGGATGTTATGTTGTTTGCTATTTTGCTATTTTATGAAAAAGACATCAACTATTCTTTTCTCAAGTATCATTATTGATACCACCTGTAATACTGGACATTTTTACACAGTGTATTCCAGATTTAAACCTCTCCCAGACTGAATCAGGGTGATTTGGACATAATAAATATATAAATTCATCCAAAGTCAATTAATTTGATTCTGAATTAGCTCTGGCTTTCACTAATGATTGTGAGTTTCATATGTATACAAACACACTGCAAGGTCTAAGAATTGATCCAAAGATAATCTAAAAAATGTCTTTCCACAAAACCCAAAGAAAAGCAATGTTGTTATTCAGAAAATTTTCAGATTGCATGGATAGGCACACCTCTAGTCTATTTGTAACTTTCTTCACATTTGTCCATTAAAAGATAGAAATATATTGGTCTGATTTTCATCTCAGAAGGGTAAATAAAATGTCTGAAAATGTTATTCAGTTCCACAAATAAATAAATTAGTCATTTGAGTGCCCTCCATAATACTGTTGTTGTTGTTTTTTTTACAAGAAACCTCTGGACCTTTTTTTTAAAACTGAGCTGCCTTCATCTTCTATTAAATTTCAACTTCAACAAATTTTCATCCAATTAACTGAACATTAAACAAAATAAAACCCTACAGCTGTTTGTTCATTTTTAGTAATAGCCAAGAGGGGATTCAAATTTGAGATCCAAATTCAATTCAGTCCCCAAAAAGAACTGAGGCATTCTAAATCAACTAGACTAGAACTATTTGGGGGGGGAGGAATCAAAGCTCTTTTTCACTCATCACTTACTAATAACTCCCAGCCTTGCTTCCTTTGATTAAAAAAAGCCCCACAAGTCTTTTTTTCTTCTTCTTTGCCCCGAAATGTGGTCATTGCCAAATGTTAAAGCCACCACACCAAAGTTACAGTTTTGATCCCAATTTTATGTTCCCTGCAAATAAATTTATCACTACTAAACAACTACTGTATTTTTCCGTCTTTAAGATGCACCCTTGTATAAGATGCTCTGGCAGGTGAGTTTTTCTGCACCGATCAGCTTTTTGGCAGAGCGCTGAACAGCTGAGCTGACAAATCCAGAAGTTCGGCCAGCTGATGATCTTGCCCCCTCCTCCCTCCCGTTAATGGTAAGCCCACAGGGGCTTGACACCTGCACCAGGCAGCATGGCAACCCACACAGGCATGCCCTGGGCTGCAGAGGTTGCCATTATTTTTCCGTGTATAAGACACTGAATTTGTATAAGACACACCTGATTTTTGAACAGGGTATTTGCAGGAAAAAGTAGCGTCTTATACATGGAAAAATATGGTAGTTCATGCTATTTCCTCTGAATTGGATTTCCTTTGGGACTGTTTTCAGGATTATTTGGAAACTTCAGTTAAATTAAAATAGAACTGCAAAAATGGACTGGCTAGTACGAACCCTTGATTCCATTTCACTGACTATAGGTTCATTTCTAAGTTTAAGTCAAGGCTGCTGAGCTGATTTTTAAAGCAGTGAATGGTTTGAAAACAAATATCTCAAAGGAAGAGTCTTCCTGATGTGTCTGTCATCTTTCAAATTCGTCGTTCAGGATTTTTGCCAAGATGAGTGAGCTTGATTAGCCACAAAGTAAAGGCCTTTTGTCTCTTTCCAGGGAGGCATATTTGAGCCTCCTTTAATTTACTGTCAAGGTCAAAACATTCCTCTTTATTAAAAATGTAAAAATAATGTAAAATATCTATAATGTATATATGTATTTATATCTATATTTAGTGTAAAACATCTATAACTTGCAGTAAGTGAGCCTTTTTAGTATCTCTACAATGCTACTTATTAATTGTACCCTAGCTAATTTTATATTTTTAATAGCAGCATTATCTGTCATGAAAATACCAGTTAGTGAATGGATTGAAGTAAAATAAATAACTGAAAAACTTTATATTAATCAGCATTCATAGCTGATTTTCAGATATCTACAGTACACCTGCCCCAAATTCTTCAGCCTATTGACCCCCTTCATGAAACTTCATATTGCTCATTGATCTCCAAACATGTATTTTATGAAAATAATTTAAATACTATTTTATCTAATAACACTATGAATAATAACTATGAAAATGGATAGTCCCATCAATCCTGGGGACGGTGGGCTAATATTCAGCACTTTGAAGAACCCTGGCCTAACAGTTTTGTTTCTTCTCCTTCAAGTCAGCATTGACTCTTGGCAACTGCCTGGACAATTGCCTCTAGCTTTCTTGGCAAGATTTCGGAAGTGATTTGCCATTGCCTTCTTCCTAGGACTAAGAGAGAGTGATCGACCCTCAACTGGCTTTGAATCCCTAATGCGGGATTAGAACTGATGATTTCCCAATTTCTAACCTGGTGTCTCACCACTACACTGATTGTTTGGCCTAACAGTATACTGAAATTACCTTGTTGGGAAGATAGTTGATATATTTCTGCATTTGCCATAGTGTGATCTGTACAGGAGACTCCAATAATAAAATATTGCAAAATATTGCTCCTATTCATAGATCATCTACAGACTACTCCATTTTATTTCCCTGATCATTTTTAGCTCTTAAAATACCCAGCTACTAAAGAGCTATGGTTGAAAATAGTTGTCTTCCTGGTGTCATATATGTGAGCTCCCTGGATGCATGTTAGGTTATTCTGTGACACAGAATGCTGGAATAAAAAGATATTTGGCTTGTTCCAAAAAGTCTCATTTATATGTTCTTAGCCTATTTCTAATTTCATACTTATCAAGATTAGAACTATGTTAGGGTGTCACATTTTATTAACTTTTGGCATTATAATCCTCAAACTTGATCTTCACATTGACTTTGAGGGAGGAGCCATTATGGAGTTTCAGATTATGTAAATCCAAATCCACTGAAAATATTATAGTTTATTGAAATAGTATATTAGTTGCTGATTTATTCCCACTGTATCATAGTTTTCAAATATGTGCCTCATTTTTAACATTTGGTTTCTACAAAGCAGGATGGACAAATAGCAAGATTTCTGTCTTCAATGGAAGAAAATGTCATTTTAGCATTATTTATTTAATAGAATTTGAATGTATATGGTTTTTAATGAAAAAGGATAATGGAAGATCTGGAAGAACTTTTCATTCTTTCAATAGGACATATGCTTAGCTGTTATTCTAAAACTTCTATGTAGTTGTTCCAAAGGTGCTTTTTCACAAGGCAACTGAACTTTCTTGTTTTTTCTTTGAAGATGTTTCACTTCTCATCCAAGAAGCTTCTTGGATGAGAAGTGAAATGTCTTCAAAGAAAAACAAGAAAGCCCAGTTGCCTTGTGAAAAAGCACTTTTGGGATAACTATGACCTGGTTGACTGAGAATCTCCATAGACATGCTATATAGTTGATTTTAAAAAGCGCCACAACTTATAAAAAGCAGCTATATGATCTAGATGATTTTTCTTTTTCAGGTGGTTGATGATCATTCCAACACTGTGATGAAACCACAGTGGCCAGATATTCAACAAGAGCTGAAAATTGTTGAATCTGAAGAGGAGTTTTCATTTACTGGAAGTACTCTAAAGACAGATGAACAACAACAGGAGTTTAAACCAAGTCTTACATCTATTGTATCTTCAGAAGCCAAGAGTTTAGTGTGTAGTTCTCTTCTGCTCCCAACCCCTACCAAAGAGGAAAACCTAATTGGAGATCCATTGGCTATATCTGACATTCTTTCCAAAGAATCAAAAGATGTACAACTTTACAACTCTGAGCCATTCAGAAAACAGAGTAATATTTCCTTCACCTCAGTGAAGCTGCAAAATATTCCACGTTCAAAAAATTGTCTACAAGATGATAACACTAAAAATGACCTCCCATCTCAATCCCAAAACTGGAAGTTTCCATCAGAACTAGAAGAAAATGCAGCTTTTTCAACAGACAGGTCATCATATTCCAAAGAAAAAAATTTAGACCAGCCAGAATGTGAAAGTAAGAATTGGCTTCTTCAAAGGGAGAAAAAAGTTGAAACAACAACCCAGTTAGAAAAAATCAGTGACACAAATTCAGAGAGAGATCTAGCCAATTCAAAGATTCAATGTGGAACTGAAGTCCCATGGGTCAAAGAAGGCAGAATGAATGATCAAAACTCTGTTAATCAATGGGAGGAAGATACACAGAATAACCATGTCCATAGTTTAGAATTGCTAGAGCCATGGGAAGATCATCAGTGGGTCACCAGTCCTCTTCATTCTCCTACCTTGAAAGAAACTCAAGGAAAGGCACTTCAGGAGTTTCAGCCACAGAACCAAGGAATGACCCAAAGTCATTTCAAGAAACCATGTTTCAGTCGTAGCTTTTCCTTAGACAGCAAGGATTTTTTGAAAACTCATTGGGCTATAGAAATACCTTTAACAAATGCAAATGAGGAACAGCTTTGTGGTGACCTAGAACAAGGAATGAAGGAATATTCACCAGGACAGTGGAAAAAAAGTCTTCAGAAAGCTGAAGCCTGGCTGAATTGTTTAAAGGAAACTTCAAACTCACGTGAAACAAACATGAAATATCTAAGTCATGAAGCAGGCTTTGCAGCAACAGAGTTGCCTTCTGGTCTTGAAGGATTGCCTAGTATTGCCTGTAAAGCATTGGTTGAGAAGGATGTGCCTAAAGATGAAAAAAAACAAGAAAACATGAAGCTAGATTCTCCTTTGTCACAATTTAATACTGAGATCAGTTTATTAAATTCAAACTGCACACGAAGGCAGGCAACTAATATTCAACCGAATGACAGACCTGGAGTTCCTATCATGAAAGGACCATATTGTACTAAAGAGCTGCAGATCAATAAAGGAGAGGATATTCCATGTAAAGGAAAGCCAAGACCCTCTTCTCTCAACCTGGATTCTGTCCTTCCACTTGCCAGCCTTTTTAATTTTGACCACTTGTCTTTCCCCTCTTCACCCAGGCACTTTCTCTGTGGGCAGAAAGAAACTAAATCTAGTGATTCTGCACCATCCCTTTCTGTTGCTTGTCCAAGTGAAAATAAAGCTGACCTTTGGGGATCACACTTTGATCCTCAAGACTTAGACTTAGAATACATAATGATGGCTCATGCTACCACTGGTCGTCGTAATTCTGCCCCTGTAAGTGTTTCAGCAGTAAGAACATCTTTCATGGTTAAGATGTGTCAGGCTCGAGCTGTGCCAGTGATTCCACCAAAGATTCAATATACCCAAGTTCCCCAGCCTTTGCAGGCACAAAACCCCAACTGCAGAATCTCACTGGCATCAGAGAATAAAGAAGCAGAAGTCAAGAAAATTCTAATCAAGCCAGTTCAAAATGCTCAGGGTCAGCTGCAACTTCCAAAGAGTCCATCACTCGATGGGATGGGAAAAGAAAACAACAGTACATTCATTTTGGATTCAGCTGCAGCTAGAAAAGCAGAACCATCTTTTTCCAATCATAATAATACTCAGGATGCACCAGTTCTTCGGCGAAAGAGAACCTCTGAAGGAGAAACTACTGGAGATACTCCACAGTCCTCAAAAATGGAGAGGCCATCTGGGGTTTCGAAGCCTTCTTACAGATCTAGACCAGGAAGACCTCAGAGCCTTATTCTATTTAGTCCTCCCTTTCCTATCATGGACCATCCCTCTTCTGCAGACTCTAGAGTATTGTTATCTCCCATAAGAAGCCCTACACAGACCCCTTCTCCAAGTCCAATTTCCAATGATTTATTAGGACCAGCCCCAGAGGGTGTCACTCTTCGTAACAAAATGACTATTCCAAAGAATGGCCAAAGGCTAGAGACATCTACAAGTTGCTTTTACCAACCACAGAGAAGGTCTGTAATTCTGGATGGAAGAAGCGGGCGTCAGATAGAATAATGCCTTCCCATTTCTCTTCCCTGGTGGATGAGATATACTAGTAACACTGAGAACTATGAATATGATGCTATTATTGCTAAATGCTTCTTACTAAAAAAGTAATTGTTGATTTCAACAATCCTTAACTTTATATTTTGTCACATTTAATAAATGAAATTATCCCACAGGTGAAAACAATATTTTACTGAAAGGAAAGGCAGAGGTAAAAGTTGTCTAGAAATGTATTCCTTTATAAGATGCTCTATTGCTTCAGCTTCCCACCAACAGATACAAATCATCTCAGCTAATGTTCCTTTTCATGATCTTGCTTATTGCCTTCCTATAATGTTGAAATGCTATGTATTTGGGATTTCTGTTGAAATATATATTAAGAATAGCAGACCTGCTCCATGTATCTATATACAGACCTAAAAGGAGCATTGTAAAAAGAAAAATGTGCACACTGGTCATTCAAATAAGTGGGGAGAGGAATGCTGATATGTTTGAGGGAAACCTATTTTGATAAGCTATTATTATTAAAAACACCAATTATATCTTACATTTCTCTAAATGTTTGATGGACTTTAATACTGATTATAGAAAATTGTACAAATAGTCATACAATATAAAATACCTGTTCTGTCAGTGATTGGAAGATTTATTAATGTAATAGTAGGGATTGAACTCACTCCAAATGATTTTCATCCTCCTCCAAAAACATTAATTTGCTATCTCTGTAGCAGTGTCACTTTTGGTAGCTGCTAAATGGAGTGATAGACCAGTCATAATAAGCTTCAATCCATTTATTAGAATATCATAGTGTACTGATGTTTATTGAAGACATTATAATATGATTTTCTCTACACCAGCCTCAGTGTAACTGCTTTGCAAATGAGACTGAATTTAAGTTGCTACTCAACGTACTCAACACCACGTCAATAAGTGGCACAAACTAAATTTCAATTAGTAAATAAATTCCAGCCCAAATGTCTGGTTGCAAGTTATTAAAGCAGAATTGGGGGCCTGAAGATCTTTCAAGAATGACTTACATGTGTTAGATTTTGTTTTCTCATTGATTTTCAGTATCATAGTCTAGAAGCACATTTTCACAAAACACAGTTGAACTAGAGCTAGGGCAGAAAATATGTAGACAAGTGATGTTGTGACTGTTGGTATACATATAAAATACTGAAATAGCATTTATTGTAATTTCACTAATACATATTTTGATACATGTATTTCTACCTAGAATTCCAACTTTGATTTTAAGAATAAGTTGTTTCACATAACAAAATGAGTACCTTTTACTTATGAAGTCTATTATAAGTCCCTAGTTTTTTTTTTTACTTTTCAAGACAGTTTGAAATAATAGCAAAAGGGGATTGGCAGTTCTACAACATTGTGGATCTCTGTTTATAACAGAGAAATGGGTGACACTGTCTTTATTTGCACATTGTTATTAACATAAAACCATATTTCTGATTTAATCAAAGAGAAATTCAGCTGAAGACAATTTGGATGCTATGGATTTTTAACATTCATTTTGAGAATAAATCTGTTTCTCCATTTTGGGAAACATGGAACAAGAGGTTCTGCTTTTTGCATGCTTGGATTTGGTCAAGGCTTGGTATGCTTCTTATCAGAGTTGGCAAAGAAGAAAAAACAAGGTGCACTTTTTTCCCCTTGTCCTGTAATGCCCAAGGACAGAAGGAAGTTCACTGAGGACTGTCATTTTTGGTGGAAGAAAGAATAGGTTAATGGAATAAAACAGAGTGCTGAATTAGAAGGAAAGTTGTTAATATATTATACCATTTCTGGGATAACAAAAATAAGTCACTTGCTCATTGAAGAAAGAGTTGCAGTACTCACCTGTGGGATGGTTTGTTCTTTTGCTTAAATAATGCCTAGGATTTGCTTTAAGCAATGTATATTGGCTATTTTCCTAGTGACAGATATATTTTCTAAAAGTGTGCTATAGAAATATATTAAAATCTAATTAAGAACCTAAGAAGTTGTGCATCTCTGAATCTTGGACAAAACCAATGTTTAGAAATTAGGCTTTGTTGTAAATTCCTCTTGTATAAGCTTTCCACACTTTTGATAGAGAAAGAGCATCAATTGCTCAGTCCACTAGCCATGGAGTCTGCCCTTCCTGATCTTTTCCCCTGAAATTGTTCTTCATATCAACACAGGATTTTACCAACTATTGCTAAGCTTATCTGAAACAGATCTCGCTGAAAAACAGTAAATCTGTCAATTATTTCATGACAATTGTCTCTGTAGTGATGGTTAAGAGTTGTGTTTATGAGATGAGAGATGTGAACAAGAAGTTAGGAAGGTGCTTGTATATCACTCTGCATCCTTAGCACTGTTTTGCTTCAATTTCTTGTCAGATTCAATTCTTAGATGTGTATACATACACACACACACACACAATTTCAGTTGAGATTGGGGACATGGGCAATTCTTTAAAACTGATGGGATTCTTCTTCCATTGTGTTCTAAATAAGGCCTAACTTTGGGGGGGGGGGTTAGGAGTGGAGGAAAAGGTAAGGGCTGAATTTGATTTTTCAGTGGCATGCTGAGAACAACACTCCAGAAGTTAGATCAAGGATAAAAATAAAATAAAATTGATTTCATTTAATTCAAAAGTGGATTCGGTTAATGCTTTTTTACATTCATTAAATGAAAAAAATGTTCCCAAGCATTTTATATTTTTCTCCCTTCTTTCATAGTATTAATTACAGCTTGTTGGCAACTTTTGAAGGCTCACATCCACTGTAGTCAAAGCATTCAAGGGCCATGTATGGCTGTAAGGTCTCAAGCTGTGCATCTTTGCTGTATATGAAAAATACTGTATGCCATGTTAGATTGTTTATAACATTTTAACTAACTTTTTAACATACAAGTATATTTTTTCAACATTTTGTTTCTGATAATTTTACTAAAACAAAACAAATTTAAACTGAGGATAAATCCCTGTTCCTTGCCACCCCTTCCTCTCCCTGAAGAAATTATGAATCATTTTTTCCTATTGCTTTCAATTTGAGAGGGGGGAACCAAGTCCATTACTGTGAGGTCTGAGCTTTGTATGAATGCATTGAATTTCATTTAATCATCATGATGAATATTGTTTTCACAGAGTGCTGCTCTTCTATTTTAGGGCTTTCATCATTTGGAAATTTTGCCAAGTCTCAACCATGAGATTAAACTGGAGTTTTTATAAAAACTAACTTGTGTCTTAGTGTTGTTTTGGCAATGTACATATTTATTGTGCTCTAGTGGAGAACAAAAGATGTTTACTTTTGTCATTTCTGTTATGGTCTTCCTTATTCGATTAGCTAAACCAGAAATGGAAAACCTGTGAACTTTCCAGATGCTTCTGAAATTTAATTTCCAAAAGACTCAATTAATATCAAGTTCTGAGAAATATTGGTGAGGAATCTTTCAGCAATATGAAAGGCTATTATTTCTCCATTTTTGAATAGCTCCAAGCATTAAGGATGCTCATCAGCATCACAGGTGTTATTTTGCAAGATCATTGCCAAAAGATCCTTTAAAGAAATTGAGAGAATGTACATTGTTATAAAAATTCTATTTTTAAAAGTTAAAGAAAGCAGCATTCTTTTGAACTAAGCTGGAATGCGGGAATGTTATTCACTGTAGTACTCCCTGAAATGGAATCTGTTTCCATTTAATCTGGAGAGGGTGGCAAAACTGCATGTAGAACAGAAAATATTTTATTTTGTTTTTCATATAATCACACAACAAAATATAATATTATGTCATCATTAAGCTGTCTTTTCAGAGGGAGAGCTTGTCCTCTGATCTGGCTTTGCGTCAGGGCTGCAAAATGAAGTCCAGTTACTAACATGACAGTGTTATGTAATCAGACGGCCTTTTTGATCCATGATCCCTTTTAGAATAACAAAATTATTTCATTCTCATCTGAAAAATTATCTTTGGAGTAGAACTATACTCCAGGAAGTTGACTGAACTACCCCATTTAGATGGCTCGTCTACCTGTGGGAAGCAGTCAAGAGTATTAGAGATCATCCTTTGTAACTAGTCCAAAAGTTATACACAGACTTACAATTCTTGCCGAGCTTCAGTCTTTTTCATATCTAGTAGAAGAAAATCCAATCTTCTGTGTTTCCAAAGCAACTTGCATAAATCTAACATTACATTTGGTAGCAGCTGGATCTTATATTCTCTTACAAAGCATCTATCTTGACTATTGTCACCACAAACTCATAACTTGAAGGAATTTAATTCTCTTTCTATCTTTCCTCCAGCTGCTTTCTTATTTTTCAAAGTCTAAATGCATTAATTGGGATCCTGTTCGTGTCTTTAGATATATTAAAATGAAAGGCCACTTGCATGTATTTTGACTGATATACAGCAGTATTAGGATGCTTAGTCTAGTATTTTATTTTTAGTAATATATTTAGCATGGCTATCTAATTAGGGAATAATCTGGTTTTGCTGGAATTAGATCTGGGCAATCTGCTTGTTTGTTGAATTTGATGGGATTCATGGCTTCTTCCTTATTCATGGATACCCAAAAAAAGACCTGATCTGGGAAATTGGTACTTTCACTATTATACCGAAGAAAGAATAATAGTATCAGCTACACATTTTCTCCTTCTTTGAGAGGTTGGCCAATGTATCATTTAATATTTCAAGGGGAGGTAAAAAATTCCACTGAAAAGTCAGCAGTGCAGAGTTGCAAGGAGTGGATTTGAGCATTTTTCTGCTAGGTCTTTTGGAGGAAATTGGAAATGGATCTTTATTTATATAATATTGTAACTGTGAGGGCAAATTTATCATTTTCATGTGTTTTCTATGGCAGTTGTTTAATAATATAGGTAGTCCTCGATTTATAACCGCAACTGAACCCAAAATTTCTGTTGCTAAGCTAAACAGAAATAAAATTGGAAGTTTGCGTATAGAACTTGAATAGAAAAGGAGGAATGTAGATGGAAAGCAACCTTTTTTTTTTTTTTTTTGCAAACAGTTTATTCAAAACAGAACCAAACTTTTGGTCCCTAATCCATAGCCATACACATACTGTTGTTTTTGTTGATTGAATGTCAGTGATGCTGGTGGAAGAAGGAAATGTATCACATCCTTTTAGCTTTAATAAAAGTGCAATCCAGAAATATTTAATTTTAGCAATAGGAAGATATGTTAGCACTTCAAAGCAAATACAGCAGCTGCTTAATAATAAGCCAAGGGATAAAAGACAGAACCAGGGATAAAGTAACACAGCCAAAGTTTTCTGAAAAAGCAACATTTTCTGAAAGGCAAAAGCTGAAGCAAAGAAACAAAAAAACAGATGTTGAACTCACTTTCCACTGCTGAAAGAACTTGAAAAAAAGCTTGTTTTAAAAATGGGAAAAGTTAATCTCTGTCTCAGCGAATACAACATTCATTATTCTATATTTCATTACCGTTACCTTAGGCAACTAAAGTTCAGCAAATTTTGCCCAAAGAAAAATGTTCAAAAGGAATCTTATGTGTCTGAATGTGTCCTGGGGTACCTCACAGCCTTAAACCACTTGTAAAAAAAGAACCTTGTTTAACTATTACAGAAGGAATATTCTTTCAGTAAGAACTATGCAACTCCAAAATGACTAGAAAAAATTAGATCATATTTAGAGGAGGCTGGAGTGTTGCTGGAAGTGCTTGAAGAGAGGCACTTGGAAAATATTCATGAACAACATTAAAGGAATCATATCCAGGCTTGTAGCCTTTTATCAATATACTTGCCATAAGGCAGGGGTTAGCAATTTTTAGGGACTTAAAGTATATTTAGAATTTGGAGAATGTTCTCACAAAATGACTGTGATATTCCTAGAAATAATGTGAAGCCGGAGGCAAGATTTTTGTTTTATTTTTGTTTTTTGTTTTTGCTTTCAATATGGAAGCTATTATTTTTATTTAAAAACATTAAACATCAGGAGAGATGGGCAATTTGCCATGTACCATGGGAAGGAAAAACAGAAGTGCATTCTCCAATCCACTAACTTCCATTTGTGCTGGGAAGGCAACTTCTAGTATTCTCAGCCACCATGGCCTGTGGTTATTCCAGGCTGGAGTTGGCTAACATCATGAAAAAAGATAACAGTATATATGATATAACAAATCTTTGCATGTAGAACAATCACAAATTCAATTTCTGGCTTCTTCAGTTATAGATATGAGCAGTGCTTTTTTTTTTTAAAAAAAAAAAAAAAAAAGGTGCCAGAACTCACATACAACCCCGTCTTGCCTACCCTACAAGATTCCATCCAAAAAAGGTGCTGGAACTCCGTTCTGGGCGTTCTATGAGAAAAAAAGCTCTGGTTATGAGCTAACTAGTTAGCAGAAATCTCTTCATGAGATCCTGCAGAGTAGCCAGAATACTATGATAACAAGCACCATTTGTTTTTAGCAGCTTCCCACAAGCACATAAATGTAAGATGATTCAGAGAACATTGGGAACAGCCTTGAAGGAAAAGATGAAAAATCATTACAAGGCAAATGTCACATAAGAGAGAGCTGAGCCCATTCCAAGGAACTAATTTGAGAAATCATCTCAGTTAGGACCTTCTCTAGTTCACACAAAAATAAAGGAAGGGAGGGGGAAGCACATTCAGACTTACAAAATTCTGTTCCATACCTATTACAATCAAAGTAGTGCTGACCTATGTACTGTAGCATTGGTTTCTTAGTCCGGTTTACATTGTAAAACAAGCAAAGAAACAGCACAGGTTTTACAGGAAGATAAGTATGTGCAGAATTGAGAAATAATTGAGTAATTTAGCAACATTTTTTTTGTAAAAAACATGGTGACAAATTCAAACCATAGTTCTACCTACCATGTGAGAGAATATTCAGAATTTGTACCAGAAATGTATGAGAATATCTATGGCCAAGATATGATCATTGGACAAAAGCATTTTCTCCCCAATATGGTCTAGAAGCTATTGTAGAACTCCATGAATAGGGATGTAGCAGTGTGTGTCAGCAGTTTCACCTTCAATGACAAGTTTTTGCTCATCTTTCTTTTACTATTTTTGCCACTCTTTTTAATGCACTCGGTATTATAGCTGAGTACCAAAGTTAGTGGAAATGAGGCAATGACACAAGAATGAATGGACAAATCCTGAAAATATTTTTAGGCAGAATTCCTTTATAAATACCATATATATATGCATGGATAAGTCTACTCTAGAATTTTAAACAGAATATTATGAAAAATGTTTCATCTGTGGATAAAACAACCCTATTTTTAATGTTTTAATTTGTACAATTAGCTTATTCATAGATGGAGTATTGTTCATGGTATTTTCTTTAAAATTCAGAGGTCAGTTTACCCAGTATGCCACAAAATGGGAGGCATGTAAATTTAATAAATAAACAAATATAGAGATGTTTTTTAAAAGCATTACTGTATATACTTGTGGCAAGACTAACCAAAACCACATTTTTGATGTGTATTTTTAACTTATCTGTGAACATATACAATACTGATTCTCACCACTTTCTTTGAAAAATCAGTGACTCTTTTAAAGAAGCTGTTTAAATCATAGACTTCAATTGATGCAGCAATACAAATTAAAACAACCCTTATTAAATGGTTGTCCAGTCCCTACTTCAACATATCCAATAAAGGATAAACTACAATATTAACTTGTTACTGGTGTCACTGTCAGATCAAACCAAATCAAATCAAATTCCCCTTAGGTTTTTGAAAAATAACATCTCTCCCAATTATTATCCTCCCTCCTATTCTGCATTTTAAAGGATAAATACAAAGATGGCTTTCAGTTTCTCCTCAAAGGAACTTGTTTTTCCCATCCCCTTCTCTTTTTCATTGTTCTTCCGTAAACTGCTCCAGGCTGAATACTTCTTAAAGAGTGGGAGTACTGATAGTATGTTGTGAATCCAAGAGAATTTGTTTCTCATCAGACTAAATTGGTATGTAGTAACTCTCTGGAGCATTAGTAGTAATACCTAGGGGTATGGAATAATACTTAGCTTCTTACCCAGCAGCTACAGTCCTGTTTAACCACTATAGAAATGTTGAATAGCCTTAAAAAAAACAGCTACTGCTCATGCAAAAGTGGGTGAGGTTGAGAAGAACATTTCACATAGGAAGTTATTCACTTTGGGTGTTTTATTGAAAATTAACACATCTTCTTTGACCCTTCTAGCTGTTGTCTAGAGTAAACCTCTGAATAATCAGTGTTATGGAAAATCCAGGAAAAAATCAATAAACTCTTTAATATATTATAGAAGTTTCCCTTTCAGCATATATTATTCAATGCAATTTGAGAGCAGTATATGATCTTGCCCTCTAAACCTTGCCCCATATCATTACATTTGCACTGGGGAAGAAAGTACACATGGAAAATAGTTTTTATGCATTCTGTCTCTCAGCAAAATCTTCATTTGGGTAATTGGAAAACAAAATGAAAGCCTTAAAGCTATGACATTATATTTACAAATTCAAATATTTTATGAAAAAGTGGTCTAATGTTGATATATTGAAATCAAAATTATACTTAAGTATCCAGGTCCTGCAGAATCCCTTATGAAACTTATTTATTGTTTTTTTTAAAAAATAAAGACACAGATTTGACTCAATAACTGAAGTTTCCCACTAACTTAAAAAAAAATCATTTATTCCAGTTCTTCAGTTTAGGAAAACATGAGAGCAATCACTATAATGTACAATCAGTATACCTGGGTTACATGTGAGACAAAATTCTATTCTCTTAACCATCTTTATTTTATTCAAAAACAGTTTATTAATAAAGGTTTGAACAGGATTAAAATATACAGAAAAGTATTTCTTTTTGGAGCTTACATTTTATGGAAAATCATTTGCATCTTAAATTCTCTGTACAAGGCATACACTATCACAAAAAAGCTTACAGTTTGATGTGTTAACAAAAGATTGATCACATAATTTGTTGGCCATCTATATATTAGTCATTCATATTAAAATAATAAACGTGATTTTATGGTGAATTCTAACAAAATATATTTAATTCAAGATCCAAGGAAAATGTTAGGATATCTCTTGCATTCAATGTGTTTTCAAGTATAGTTGTTCTGCTATGTTTGGTTCTTTTAAGACAGAGGTGTCAAACTGCCGGCCTGTGGGCCGGATGCGTCATGACAAAACCGCGCCCATCCCATTGCCGGCAATAGGGAAAAAGCTCTGATAGGTCGCGTGATGTCATGTGACATTGCAAGTTTGACATGTCTGTTTTAAGAAATCATCCTCTCTTGTAAATAACTTAGGAATCATAACAAAATTGGTAAATTGAGGATTGTATGTGTAATCAATCAGGACCAGTAATCAGAGGTAGCCAAAAAATACTGCAAAATACCTAGATAATCATTCCAAACAACTGGTTCAACTCTTTCTTATGTTCTTAAAATAGCCATTTCCAATAAAAGAAAATAAATGTAGCTGAGGATTGAATTGTGAGGTCCTTGGTGTTCTCTCTGCAGGTTGTTTGCTTGCAGATGTTTGATTAGCCAAATAGGTAACACCATCAGTGTAACTGTGGGACTTGCTCCCTGTTTATATATAGTAGCTTGCTCTGCCAGTGTTGGTAGGGCTGTGGTTTTCTCCTTGATTGAAGAAGCAGATGGTTTTCTGCTTCATTGTTTGTCTGGTATTAATCCATGTTTATTGAGTTTGGGATGCTGGAGATGATGTGTTCTGGTCTTTTTGTTTCCTTCTTAGCTTTTTAATTGTCTCTTTTGAATGATATATAAAAGTTATAAAGTAACTACCAAAGAGAAAACCAGAGCTCCACTAATATAGGCAAGGCAAGCTGCTGTATATAAACAGTGAACAAACTCAACACTCATTGGCATAGATGATGTTACCTAATTGGATAATGAAATGTCAGCAAGCAAACAAACAAGAGAGCACCACTCTACCTCAATTTTCTTATATATTGCTATGTCTTAGTATGGCCTGATTGTTACAGAACAGATCAGACTATTAGTCCAGTTTCCTACCTTGTGATTACTATAGCTACGTCTGAAATTAAGGCAATGGGGGAAATAAAGAAAAGATTAAAGGGACATCTTGAGAAGTTCCACAGGGAGAAATTATTTAGATATGAACTGTAAGTGCAAGTTTAATGTACTGGTTAAAGCATCAGGCTAGCAACATGGAGACCATGAATTGTAATCCCACTTTTTGCAAAGCCAGTTGATGACTTTGGGCCAATCACTTTCTCTCAACCCCAGAAAAAGAGGCAAAGAAAACCACTTCTGAAAAACCTTGCCAAGAAAACTGCAGGGATTTGCCCAGGTAGTCTCTGAGAAATGGTCATAACTGAATAGAAGGAGGGGGAAAAACTATATAGATTTATGGAAAAAAGCAGGAAGAGCAGATTGCGAGGCCATTACATCTTTAATATTCAATTCTGCTCCAGTAGAACATCATACAAAGAAGGACCCAAGTCTGGAAAAAAAAGGAAATAATTCAAGGAGAATTATTGCAACATCTTTTTTTATGCAGCACATTTGAACAGCAGAACAGCTTGAATTTGTACAAGCAGCATAATTAGGTTTGAGACAACTAATTCTGTGAATTAAGCATGTATTGTGTTCAACTCAGAACACCATACAGAAATACATATCATACAAAAATACAAGTGTATAAATTTAATAAGCACTGTGGCTGACAGCAAAACTATGAAAACTTCTGCAAGTAAAATAGTTCTCAGGTCTTCCTCTTTTTATGGAAAACTATACAGACAATGAAACAATGATATAAGTTATGACAAGCATCTCATAAAGGCTTCCATTAAAGTCACTGCCAAAAAGTATGCACAGAAACAAATATTAAGACTGCCCAGGAATTTAGGACAACCTTGTTTCTATGCATGTTTGTGACTGTGACAATGTCTAGGCCAGAGGTGAGAAACGTTTCCTGTTGACAGCCACACTCCTTTCCAGAAAATGCATGCCGACATTAGGTGTGCCTGAATCCAGCAGTGGAGAAAGCCAAGCCGAGCTCAAGTGACCAGGGATATGCTTTTTCTTTTTCCTTCCTGCCCAGGACACTGCTAGAGCAAGGTCTCTTTCAAAGTTGGTAAGAAAAGCAATTAGTTTTACCTGCATACACAGAGCAAGGCTCTGTGGACTGTAACTCCCAGATTTCCCCAGCCAGCATGCATTTCTGTCAGTAGAAATTCTGGGGAATTCTGAGAGCTGTCAAATTTGAAAAACACTGATTGATTGGTTGAAATATAAATCAATATTTTAATCAGGGCAGAAAAAAACATATCTGTTTAAATATAAAAAGAAAGATTATTTTAGGATTTCAGAATTCTCCACATTGCCCTGATTATTGTTAAATTCACCTCAATGAGGAGAAAACAATGAGAAAAACATTACATTGATGTCATGTAAAAGAAAAGTAAGAAAAAAAGAGCAAGGGACCTCTCAGACTCTTTTAAAGGTCCTATGCTAGACGGAGAACACACTTCATTAAAAATCTGAACTGATTATTTATGGTAGCCCAAGATGGGCCATCATAACTATTCCCACATATTCAAGCATTTTTAAAAGGGAAAGACTGGGAAAGAGGACTCTGGATTTACTTTTAAGTAACACCGGTGTCCAATTTCTTCTAGAATAAGGGAAAATAAGAAAAGCTTCCCTTCCCTTCCCTTCCTCAATTATTCTGCTGTAGTGCGGTGGTACCTTGGTAGTCAATCTCTTTGAAATTCATTGAACTTGGTACTCAATGGATTTTGACACAAAACTTTTGTCCCAGTACTCATTGTTGTTGTTGTTTTGGTATTCAATGCACAAGCTAGAACTGTTGGTGTCTGGCTGTCATACTTTGTATAAATTTGTTTGATGCTCATTGTTTTTGGACTCATTGTACCTCTTGGAACCAATTAACAATGAGTACTGAGGTACCACTCTATTTGTTCAGATGAGAGTGAGAGAGACTGTCCAGCTTGCCTCAACCTACTGATGAACTTTAGAATTCATATTCCTGTTCAGCCTGGCTATCCCTAGTCCAACTCCAACATTATTTAAACATCCTAAATATTCTACTATGCCTGTCATTCAGGTGACAAGGTTCTATCATGTTTGTCCACATGCCTCTCATTTGCTGATAACCAGTCTTCCTGCATTTATTCACATTCTTTTTATTGCCTTCCTAGAGGTCATTTTTTATTTAAACTGAGGCTTGTTATTCTGGTTAAGGGACTCTGTAAATTCAGATAGTCATTGAAAGTGTCCAAGAAGAACAGCACAAACAAGTCATGCAGTATATTACAAACAAGTTTTCCTTGTTATGAAAGGCTTATCTGACCTTACCTGGCTCATAACATTAAAACTGTGAGTTCAGTCCCAAAACACTGGAGACTATCTTTCTCTGAATTAAACTGTAATCTTTTGAGATGGCTTGCTAAAACTTAAGCAATATACTAAAACTTAAGCAGTATAAGCAGGTGGGCCTTTGATAGAAGTCATTTACAAACATAATTTAATGGAACAAAAAATGATAAGGAAAAGACATTCACTAATAGGACCATACAGAACAGATAACAAAATGAAAAAGCAAAAGAACAAAAAAGTAAAAGGTTAAGAGCACAGCTTAAAATTAACACTAAAATGCACATTAAAGACACTAAATCCTGAAGCCCAACAAATAAAGTTCTGTTGATACTTACAGTCCAGCACAGAATGGCAAATCCAAACCAGGCAACGCCCCAGGCATGTCTGTTCATGGGGCCAGTAATAGTTTCAAAGCAGCCCTAGAGTAAAATAAGAGGAAGAGGATCAGCTACAGGCAAATAGAACTAGTTGCTAAGCCTTCATTCAAAAGAAGGACTGATGTAAATTAATACAGGCAAGATTTAATATAAATTTCTACCTGCCTGATTCATATGGAACTAGAATGAACTTACATGTCAATACTGGCAGTTTCTCGAATTGTGCAATATGGCTTGCAACCCATAAATATGTGCACAAAAGTGTATGTGGAAGGTAAAAAAAGTATTCCTGGAACTTGCTTGCAAACTATGTTCCCATTAACAAAAGTCCATACAAAAATGTACATTTTAGATTGAAATTTATACAAAAATGTTTATTAATTCTTACACAGATATTTTTATGTCAAATTTGAAAACTAAACATAAATGAGCCCAAAAAAGCCAACAACTAGGAATCATAAGAACAGTATGTATGCTAATATTTGCAAATAAGTAAAAAAATAAGTCATCAAGCAAAAAGAGAGAAAATACAACACAATTCATTCCTGGTTGGAAGTTGAGGAGATTTCTCTGAAAATAAAATATCTTTAACTTCATCAGTCCAACAAGGGACTGAGCAATAACCAAAGCAATTATCTAAAATTTAGCATCCATCTCTTCAAAATAAATTCCTTCTCAAACAGCTGTATTGCTGTCTTCAAAAGTCACTGAGATCAGTGATGTGATTATCCAGATTTGAAATGGAGGAATCCCATTTTAAAGAATTGAGAAAGTGAAGGCTATCAGGTGCATAGTAATGGACTCAAGTCTATTTAATTATGCTATAATCAGTGTGTCAAGGTTCCAATCAATATGATCAAACAAATCAGAATTCCGAGGCAGGAAAATTCTTCAAAGAACATGTTTATTGGATACATAATATCAGCACATTCAAAAGTGAAACCAGATCTAAACTTTCCCTCCAAGAATCAATACAATATAACAGTTCCCACCCCTCTAATCATACTGCCCAACAGAATGCCTTGGCAGGCTTTCTGACTTAATGATCTTTCTCCTCTCCTCTGGCATGGGAATGACCCTGGTTCCCACAAGAGTCGCTCATTTTTAGACTACCAGAAATACCATTTTTCCCCTCCCCCTTCTTGTGGCAACCTAGAATGAAAAAAAAATGGCTGCAGCCAGGTTTGTTTTAGAGTTGATACAGTGTGCTGGTTTTTAAGATGATCACAGCAGTCCATTCCTCTCCTATTTTAATCAAATAACAGTAGGCCAGTAGATCTAGTAAAGTGGTGAAGAAATGGCATGATATCCATTAATAATATTGAATTTGTATAACTGTAATCAAGATTAAGTCCTTAAGTTTGATAAGCAGTAGCAGTCCTGGAAAATCTACCCTCTGCTCTATTTCCACTTCCTTTTCCACACTCCTTGTCCAGAAGTAGTAGTGCCACTATTTTTCCACCTATTAACAGTTGACTGGTATCCTCAGACTAACACATTTTAAGATGGCTGCAACAGCCATCTCTAGTTTCTCCTAAGAATTGCCTTAAAGTAATGACATAGGGTAGCTAGCAGTAGTAGGCCATTCTGGAGTTTTGAATGCCTAATTCCCCATGAAGCAACTGCTCTTGCTGAAGGGTTGGGAAGGCAGAATGTTAAAGGTTGACTTATTTTGGTTGGCAGCTGCCCTGATTTGCTGCTTAACACAGCTGCTTCATTTTAACTTATGGTAGGGCTAGTTCTCTCTGACATAGCACTTACTGGGAGAAGGGGTGTAAAAGAGGGAACACTAGGAGAAGAGGAACATTCCAGCCTACTATAATAGGAGAAAATATTGGTAGAATTGAGCACCCCCTTAACATTTTAGAGAAGACTAATATCAATGAGAATTTTGATTGCTGCAGAAAAAAATAAGAAGAAATTCTTACTGTCTGATGGTAATAGCCAGGTATCCCTAATTTGCAGCCATCCAAGTTAACTGCTTTTCCTAGGAGATCCATAACACAGCACTGTCGTGGCCAGGGAAAATCTGCATCATTGTTCACCGTCCGAAAAATGGAGGTATATGTTTGCCAGTCGATTGGACCATTTACCCCACAGCATTCATTCTGGATTTAAGAAAGAAAAATGTGTTTGTTGGGGTGCAATAAATAGGCCACTACACTTGTCATTTTTAAAAGAAAGAAAGAAAGAAAGAAAGAAAGAAAGAAAGAAAGAAAGAAAGAAAGAAAGAAAGAAACTGTGGCCAATTTACTTTTTTACTAAAAATGTGAAAAAGATTTATATCCAGTGAAGCAGCATCAATTTTACAATGTTTCACACTGTAAAAACACTGAAAATTGTTGGAATGTAACAGAACTGGATGGAGTACAAAAAGTACATCAAGGAACTCTGATTTCCTCAGATAGATAATTTACTGGATATTACAATGAAGTTTGGAATCATATCAACGGGGAAAAAGTAGTTTATATTTTTCAAAAACTCCTCAAGTTTTGAGCTAGCTCTGCCTCATCTCATAACTTTAGTGAAATTCATATAAAAATGTTGCTTAAGTTCAAGACAATAAATTGATAGATTAGGAAAATTATTCAGAACAGTTCTCATATATCGACAACCTGTAGTTTGTGCGGTTGCATAGAACAAGTAAATTAGAAGCTCAAATAGGAGAAAGAAGATGTGTTAGATATGTTTACCGCCTTGAGTTATTTCTAAAAATAATAAAGGTGGTATAGAAATAAATATATACTGTAACATAGTCCTTGAAGTACTGTAATTCTTTTTGACAGTAATCCCTGAGATCAGGACTCTTTATTCTATATGCACTGTAACCATATTCTACCAAATACTGTATAGTTATAATTCCCCTTCATGATTTCTCTGTGAACCCAGAAGTTTGAGAATAGAGTTAGAAAGCAGGTTTTTATCTGTTGGCCAGGTTTACAGTATTTGAATGCCTGAAGATGGCGTTTATATCTCCAAAGCTCTGAGCAAAACAATAAATGAAGATTCAAGCTGTTCAGAAATTGTAAGTAGTGATGTACTACAAGCCATTTCTAATCCTATGTGTGTTCATTTTTAAATGACCTTTCCACTCAATTGGAGTAATGCATGATAGGATTATAGCTGCAATCTCTTTCTTTTAAATTCCACACTATTGTCAAGCTCAAGAAGCAAAAAACACACAGATTTCAGAATGATATCTTAAATGCTATAAAACACAAAGTTGAAAACTGTAAGATCAACTTTTTAGGTAGTGAGCCAGTTAATCCAGGATCTCTTTGAAATGTGTTCTTCCCATGATCTGCCCATCTGGTTTGTGACGAGTCTGTTCACACAAACTGAACTTCTCCCCCATCTGCTTCCCAGAGTACCTCAGGCTTTCATGCTAACAGTGTAACAATCTTTTCCCCGCTACTGAAAGAGGTACATTTTTTTCTGAACTTCACATTTAGCCCTTAAAGTGATTTTCTGGGAGCCTTACTCCCAAACTAGAAAGTAGCACCAATACTAACTTGTATTTAATAGAAGTCAGATGTATACTTAATTAAAATTAAATTAATTAAAACTGAATTAATTGAAATGAAATACAATCCTAGAGGAGATTAACCCTGACTGCTCTTTAGAAGGCCAGATCCTGAAGTTGAAACTCAAGTACTTTGGCCACCTAATGAGAAGGAAGGACTCACTGGAGTAGAGTATAATGCTGGGAAAGATTGAGGACAATAGAAGAAGGGGACGACAGAGAATGAGGTGGCTGGATAGAGTCACTGAAGCAGTAGGCATGAGCTTAAATGGACTCCAGAAGATGGTAGAGGACAGGAAGGCCTGGAGGAACGTTGTCCATGGGGTTGCAATGGGTCGACACGACTTCGCAACTAACAACAGCAAAATAGTAGGCATGTTATTCTCTAATATATATATTTTTACTACGTTTGGAGTTATGTGGTCCTGAGACCTCAGTTGTGCACCTCTGTATTCACTACTACATTTTTTTTGTTTATATCTAGAAAGGATCTTGATGTCATTGAAAACATTAAGCTTTAATGTGTGAATGAAGAATAACCAAAGAGAGGTTAAATTAAATGGCTTTGTATGGATGTTTAAGACACTTCCTGTTGCGTCCTTGGCGGGAAAACAGACACGAGAAGCAGCTGGAGTTCTCAGTTTCTTTTATTTAGCGTTCAGCTTACAGGAAGATGGCTTCAGCCTCGCCCAAACGCCTCGCAGCCTCTTATATAGGCAACTCCCGGGTAAATGGGTTACTTTTCCCGCGCCAGCACCCGCGCATGCGCACGGCGCTGGCGACAGCCTGTCTGGTCCCGGGCAGCTTTGCACCTGCCCGGGACTGCCTGCAAACGCCCGAGCCGTTTGCAAAGGCTCGGGACATAACACCCCTTTCCCCCGGGCTAAAACTACTACCAACATACAACATTTATTTTATATGACATTTTGCTCCCCAGTGCTCCCACTGTTTACTGGCCTTTGCCTTGCCAGCAATGTTATGTAGTCTTCTAGGTACTTAGGAGATTTCTTTGCTCTCTGTGACCTTCTTAGCTGTGGGTTACTGGCATAAGTCCCCTGACTGGAGGGAGGCGTGAGCCTGTTCTCTCTATTGTGCCCTGGTGTCTTCCAAGGACTGTGCCCCGATGCCTGGCCTGCTTGCTTGCCCACCGGGCTCGTCAGGCCAGGGCTTCTGTTGCTTTGTGACCTGGTTGACCTACCTAGCTGTAGACCCTCAGGCCCCTTGAAGTGATAGCCGCTGCTGGGCGTCTCTGTAGAACCTCCTAGGTCAGTCCAAGACCTGTCAGGAGGCTGTCCATTCCCTGAACCCCATTCTGTGTTCGGGCTCGTGTGGGTTTCTGTACTTTCCCAAAACTCAGGTGTTCCCTGATTTGTGCTAGGGTTGTTGTAGTCGGGACTTGGTTCCTCGACTAGCTCTGTGTATGTTTGACCCCCTGTAGGATTTGGGGTAAGGTCAGGCCAACTTTGGGGATTGTGTGCCAGCTCTCTTGCGGGGAATGATTTGTTGGGATGCCCCCGGGTATCCTCCGTGACTGGAGTGCTGTGTGACGTGTGTGGAACGTGAGTATGCCCCCGGGGTGACTCCCTGGCTGGAGTAGGCGTGAGTGCCTGTTGTGTGGGTAAGCTCCATGACTTCCTTTTCGGAGCAATTGCGGAATCTGGGGACGGGCCGTTTGTGGCTCCCTCAGTGGAGATGGGCAGCAGCTCGTGCCCTTCCCTTTGCTCCAAAGGGTCCCCCTCCCCCCCTGGAAAAGACCCAGGAGTCTCAGCAGAAAAGTCTCGCCTAGAGCGAAATTGGTCGATGTGCCGACGTAGGACACGACCGTTGTCCAAGGCAACCTCGTAGGAGAGAGGACCTGTGATCCTGGACACAGAAGCGGGGACCCATGTATGACTAGGCCCGTAATTGCGAGCCCAAACCGGGGCACCCACAAGTAGTCGTCTAGGTACCCTAGGATGTGAGGTAGAAGAAGGCAGTCTGTCCGGATGCAACCGGTCAAGTCTAGTAGTAAGTTGGCGCCCCCAACGAAGTTCAGCTGGACTTCTCCCTGTAGAAGTGGACGGTGTGGTGCGATAAGAAAGGAGAAAGTCAGCCAACCTGTGATGCCAGTCCCCGTAGGTGAGTCTCTTCAAGGCGTCCTTTGCGATGCGCACCATGCGTTCCGCCATACCGTTGGTGGACGGGTGAAAAGGCGCAGACGTGGCATGACGAATCAGGTTTGCCTGTAAGAAAGCTTGGAATTCGGAGGAGGTGAATTGAGGGCCGTTGTCGGACACAATGACATCTGGCAGCCCGTGTGCAGCAAAAATCCCCCTCAGTACCTGAATAGTCTTTGCAGTGGTGGTGGATGAGACAGGCACAACCTCAAGCCATTTTGAATGGCTGTCAACAAGGACCAAGAAGAACTGGCCCTGAAAGGGCCCAGCGTAGTCAATGTGCACCCTAGACCATGGGGACTGTGTTTCCTCCCATCTATGCACAGGAGCTTGGGGCATCTCTGGGCGAGATCGTTGGCAGAGGTGGCATGCGTGCACCTTAGCCTCAATATCTTTATCTAAAGCAGGCCACCACAAGTGGCTTCGTGCAAGAGCCTTCATACGGACAATGCCAGGATGACCCTCGTGGAGGGATTCTAAGACCCTAGTCCTCATTGAGGTGGGAATGACAACTCTGTTTCCCCAAAGCAGACAACCCTGAGAAAGGGACAGTTCGTTTCTTTTGGACCAGAAACTCTGAAACTCAGGACTAGGGCAGTGCTCAGGCCACCCGGACAGGACCCAGGAGCGGACACGTGAAAGTGTGTGATCTGTACCCGTTTCAGCGGTAACATCCCTGGCACTAAGAGGGAGCTCGGGCAAGGCTTGGATTGATAGAATGTTGACAGCTGGCGCGGGGTCAGCTTCTACTACTGGCAGAGGCAACCTACTGAGGCCATCAGCATGGCCCATTTCTTTCCCAGGCTTGTGGAGTAATGAAAAATCATATGCAGACAAGAAAATAGACCACCTAAGCATTTTAGGGGAAATGATGTGGGGAGTCTACTTACGTGTGGTAAACAGTCCCAGCAGAGGCTTATGGTCAGTGAAGACCGTGAAATGCCTGCCATATAGAAAATCGTGGAATTTTTTAATTCCAGCAACAACAGCCAGAGCCTCCCTGTCTATCTGAGCGTAGTTGCGCTCGGCAGAAGACAGTGTTCTGGAGTAGTATGCAATAGGAACCTGAGTTCCATCAGACCTGAGGTGACTCAGGACAGCTCCAACCCCGTAGGGGGATGCATCACAAGCGATGCACACAGGAAGAGACTCGTTGAAATGTGCAAGAACACTGTTAGAAGTGAGCAAGGCCTTGACTTCTTTAAAGCAAGCCTCATGTGCTTGTGACCACAGCCACACAGCTTGTTTGTCTAGTAGCCTGTGAAGAGGCTCAGCTACACTAGCTTTATGTGGAAGAAAAGAATTGTAGAAATTCAGGAGGCCTAGGAAGGCCTGAAGTTCGGCCTTAGACTTTGGCCTGGGTGCTTCTAAAATAGCAGTTAGTTTGGATTCAGCAGGATGAATCCCAGCAGCATCAATTTTGAATCCCAGAAATTCAGTAGAAGGCACCCCAATCTTGCATTTGTCTTTTCTGAGCTTGAGGCCTGATTTCCTGAATCTTAACAGGACAGCCCTAAGTCTTTCAGCTAGAATGTGTGTGGAGTCTCCTGCAATCAAGACATCGTCAAAGTAGGGGCAGACCCCTGGTATACCTCGTAGTGTGTTTTCCATTACGCTTTGGAAAATCCCAGGAGCGACATTTACTCCAAACTGTAGCCTTTTTACTTTAAAGGCTCCCCTGTGGGTCACAATGGTCTGAGCTATGGCAGCATCATCATCAACAGGCAGCTGTTGATATGCTTGAGCTAGGTCAAGCTTTGCAAAAACACGCCCCCCCTTGAGAGAGGCCAGGATGTGACTGACCACAGGAACAGGATAGGCATGTTGCTGCAATGCCTTATTGAGTGTGCATTTGTAATCAGCACAAATGCGAATGTCCCCATTTGCCTTTAGAGGCGTGACAATGGGGGTCTCCCACGGGCTGGAATCAACAGGTTCTAGGATTCCCTGTTGGATTAGTTTGTCTAATTCAGTGTCAATCTTACTTTTTAAAGCAAAAGGGACCCTTCTTGCTTTAATCCTAATGGGAGTGACAGTGGGGTCTAGCTTTAAGGACACAGGTGGTCCTTTGAATGTGCCCAGCTGGGGGCTGAAAACATCTGCAAATTCTTTGCAGACTTCCTGTAGGTCGAGTGTTTGTAAGCTGTTGAGTCCTGTGACGTGTATCCCCAGGGCCTCAAACCAATCGAGTCCTATGAGACTCGTTCGTTCACCCCCTACTACTAATAAGTCTAGTGGACCTTCAAAACTCTTGTATTGCACGTTAAGGGTGGCCTCCCCCTTAACACACACTCTTGCGTTCTGAAAATCTGTTAATACAATATCAGAAGGCCTTAACTTGGCCTTAGACCCACTACTGGAACAAATCTTCCTAAATGTATGCAATGAAATGATGGACAGGGCAGACCCTGTGTCTAGTTCCATAGATAATGGAACCCCTTGTAGCTTCACGTTGAGTGACAGCTTTTTCTTCATGGGCTTGTGTGTGCCTGTTCTACAGATGCTTCTTCGCGAAGCGCAAAACCCTACCCTATTCTGGCTGGGGAATCTGGTACCTTTCAGGCGTTCTTCTTGGGGTTGTGCCTTTCGTCGGCTCAGACACACAGCTGCAATATGCCCTTGTTTGCCACATGCCTGGCAGGTAGCGGAGCGGAACTTGCAGTCGGTTCTCCTGTGGCGACCTCCACAGCCGATGCACTTGAGCAGAGCCGAAGAGCTTCCCTTCTGGTTCTCTTCCTTCGCGGGGTGTAGACGGTCGACTTCCTCGTCCGGATCCTCCTCGGAGTTTCGTCGGACGTCTTCCTGGTGCACGGACGCACCCTCTGCACTGTTTCTGATCGGCCGCATGTTTTTGATGGCGCCGCCTGCTGCTTCTTCTGCGGTGACTTCCCTTAAGGCGTCTTGGAAGGATAATTCTTCCTTGGCAAAAAGTCTCTGTTGTAGCTCTCGATGCCTTAGCCCGCACACGAATCGGTCCCTCAGTCGTTCCTCGAGGTCCTTGAACTCGCAGGGCTTGGCGGCCTTCCGTAGCGCGGCGATGTATTCCTTGGCTGTTTCACCGGACCGTTGATCCCTCTGCTCGAAGGTGTGGCGCCATGAGATAACGGACACCTTGGGGTGGAAGTGCTCTTTCAGCAGCTTCTTCAGGTCTGCGTAGCTTACAGACTCTACTGGAACAGGTGCTACAAGATTTTCTGCGATTTCGAAGGCGTCTTGGCCGCAAACGCAAAGCAGGGTGGCGGCCTTCAAGCTATCTTCCCTCACTTGGTTTGCCTTGAAGTAGTTCTCCATTCTGGATACGTAGGACTCCCACCGCTCTGGATGTGAGACGTCGAATTCCGAAAGCCTTCCGATTTTCGCCATCTTCGGATCTTCAGGAGACGGGTCTATCAGCCAGCCTACCCCCGAATGCGCACCGGATTGGCGGGCAGCTGCCGAGTCGACGCCGTTCCTCTTCCGCCGCTCAGGACTCCTTGGGTAAGCTTACACTTCTTCCTTTCCAGGTAGTGCAAGGCATCCCATCCTCGTCGCCAGTGTTGAGTCCGTGGCGGGAAAACAGACACGAGAAGCAGCTGGAGTTCTCAGTTTCTTTTATTCAGCGTTCAGCTTACAGGAAGATGGCTTCAGCCTCGCCCAAACGCCTCGCAGCCTCTTATATAGGCAACTCCCGGGTAAATGGGTTACTTTTCCCGCGCCAGCACCCGCGCATGCGCACGGCGCTGGCGACAGCCTGTCTGGTCCCGGGCAGCTTTGCACCTGCCCGGGACTGCCTGCAAACGCCCGAGCCGTTTGCAAAGGCTCGGGACATAACACTTCCCACTGAAAAAATTGATAGCGCTCAGCCTCAAAGGTATGATAAAGAAGGGTTACAAACAATAGCAAAAGTAAAGATTTATTTTTAAAATTCTCTTAGCATTTGACAAAAATATCAACAAAAAATATTAAGGAAGCCAAAGATTTTTGCATTTCATTATTAGAACAGAGATATAATATACTTGTCACCCAGAGAAACACATTCATTTATATGAGAGTTCTATATATTTCTGGAATATATTAAAAATTATTCTTAAATGAGAATCAAGTATTAGTCCCAAAGTAGTACAATAGTCTTACCTGCAACATGAGACGATTCCATGTCCGGGTAATACCTTCACTCTTCCACTTGTCATCATTGTTGAGTGGGTTTGGATTCTGGTATTTTTCCAACATTTGCTTCAAGAAAAGTTCAGTTGTAAGCTAAATGGTAATGAAAGAGAGGAATATGAGCTTTTTTCCTATTTGGAGAAGTTGCATCCTTGATAACATCTAGCACATACATCTTAAATTTTTAAAACTAGTTAAAATTAAATGTTTTCTTCCAGTAGTACATGCTAACTAAATTTAAATAACATTAACTCAAGCTCAACCCACAAATTCCAGTTTTTGGTAGAGTACTTCACTGACTAATCTAAGGAATCCATATGTGATTAGGTTTTATTTTTTTTTAAAAAAAAGAATTACCATATCATTAGCAAATGTGCTAATGTGATTCTAGTCAACAAATAAATAAACTCCCCCAGTCCACAGAAGTGGGAGAAAGATTTCCTTTCCCCTAGATTAAAATAATGAATTAAAAACTTGTTCAAACCATATAAATGTGCTGCCAGACCTTCAACATGTTTGCAGAAATGAATCCCTCCTCTTTTAACCTCTTGAGAGCCTCTGAGAGAATAGACACATCACTGGTAGAATACTCACGAAATCCCGATGCACTGTTGCTGTGATGCTTGAGGCCACTTCAAAGGCAAAGACAATCATCATCAGGATGATGTACTGAACACAAACAACAAAACACATGGCATAAAGAACATTCAATATACTTCAATCTCAGATTGAGCTCTATAACACTCCTCCCCTGAAATCTGTCTTATTTTTTCTGTTTCTTTTTCTTTCATCCTTCATCTAGTTTCCTAGAAATAAAAGCTTGGGAAAGAAGCAGGAATGACTTCTCAGGCTACTTTCAGCTAAACTATTTGTTCACATATTGTTCATAGACTTCTATTGAAAAAGCCACCATACAAAAACATTGCAATTTAAAAAAATGATGGAATCAAAGCAGGAATAAAACAACAAGAATATAATAATTTGGAATAGCATCCTGCAATTCCTTTTTTTTAAAAAAACAACAACATAGTTTAGGAACCAGCTACATTTTTCCTGGGAGCAAGTTCTATAAATGGGGCACTATTATTGAGAATGTTCTACTCCTGTTACCATGTTGTACACCAGCTAGTGGAACCAAGACCAGGACTCGCCAACCTACTTTAATGTATGTGTTAGATGGTATTGAATTGATAGATCTTTAAAAACTTTTTGTTCCTTTTGTCTGCAAAAGTTTATTGGCAGCAAACAGAATTATGTGGGTCCATTTAATTACTTTGCTTAACAATCTAGGAAGCTACCAGCCACAGCTCCTAGTTAGCATTAATTTGCTATACTGAGAATATACAGGTTCTCTTCAACTTACAACCCATCATTTAGTGACCATTCAAAGTTACAATAGCACTGAAAAAGTTAGTTACAACTGGCCCTCACACTTATGACTTTTGCAGCATCTCCCTGATCACATGATTAAAATTCTGGTGTTTGACAACTGGCATATGATTATGTTGTTTGCCTTATCCTAGAGTGATGTGATTACCATTTGCAACTTTCTCAGCCACTTTCCAAAATGCAATGGGGAAGCTGAGGGTAAACTGGATTTGCTTAACAACCACAGGATTCACTTAACAACTACTTAACAACCATGGCAAAGAATGCCCTAAAAGTGGGTATGACTCTGTTAACAACTGCCTTGCTTAACAAGAAATTATAATTTCTGGCCCCAATTCATGTCTGGTCTACCTGTATTCATGCAAATTCAACATCAGGGAAGATCAATCCAATTGGGTGCTTAACCCTAGCATACCTTAATAAAACAGCAATCAATCTAATTAACAGAGTGGTGTCCAAAGTAAAGCAGTAGTTGGAATAACAACATAACCACATGTTATTGTATCTCCCTTCTGTCAGTCTTAGTCCTTACTATGTTCTGACTGCTTTATAAATTCAATTCTCAGCGTGAACCAGATTTTTGACAATACAGTCACAAATGAGTAACAAGTTGTTTACTGAGCTCTTTGCACAGCATATTTTTCTTTGTTAATAGTATGGGCTGGAAATACTATGCTCAACATCATACTTGATCTACAACTACTTCAACCATACCTGAAAAATGAAACGTTTTTCCTATAGTAAGTTATTCGGGAGCTCCAAAACATATAAACGCATTCATTAACCTGTCTATTAAAAATAATATCCACTTGCAAAATGTAGCATTCTGTGATTATGTTAGCCACCAAATAATACTGCCTATTATACAAGTAATAAACCATTCCAAAGATTATCTGGCAAATACACAGTGAGAACCATCTTTTGCATTTGTAGGACAGTATGATCTGCAAAATCCATGTCAACATGTTATGATTGATGTCTTTATTGAAGCCTGCCTTGCCTGTTACTCTGTCTAATCTATTCACTGCATTTTGTAAAGCCTAAAAGCTCTCATGCATTGAGTGCTAATACTGATTTTCTCCAAATTCTGGATATTCCAATGCCAGAGATTGTTTTTACCATTAGTTCTTGACGTAACCTCCATATGAACAGCAAAACAGGATTAGCTTAACATTCAAAATGTAACATGAACTCGCATTTTGTTGAACTAACAAATCTAAAGTTTGAGACAAAAACAACTTTAAAAAGTCCTACCTTAAAAGAAGGAGAAAAGGAAAAAGGGAAAAAGAATAAAAAAGGGAAATAAACTTGATGTTCTGTAATCTTAAAAGGAAATGAGAAGGATCTGTGTAAATATTTCATCGAAATTTCTGTACAGAAGGATAATCTCAGGAACAGCTTTGTTAATATACTTAAGAAATTGTGTCCAAACTTGGATATACTGTGTCTATCCCAATTTATACAATCCTTCAAAGCTCTTCATTGAAGTGCTAATGATTTGAGATAAAGCTATTTTCTATCCTTTTAAGACCATTTTAAATGCATCAGTTTTCTGATGTTTTGAAATAACAAACCTTGCTGTTACCAATAAAAACTCAATCAGTCTTATAGTGCATCATTTTCTACGTCTAAAGAAAATTGGGCATAAAATCAACAAGAGGGTTTATGCCAAAGTTTGCTAAATGATTTTCCTGTTTTTTTTTGCAAAATATTTTCACAAAAATTAAAAAATAGTTGGGCATTGCCCTATAACTGACATTGTGTAGTACTCTGCTTAACATACACTAGGAAGTTTATGGTTTATGTAGTATAACTTTACTGCAATGTAAAATTAACTATTAATAATTTTCAAGATTAGTTCTTGCTAATTTACTAAAGCTTAAAAGGCATTCTGCACTAAAGATTCCAATACAATTCAACATGTTGAAACTTTAAGTCATAATTTCATCACCCCGTGGCCTTAAAATAAAAGTTTTATATAACATGTAAGATATTTTAAATGAAATATATATTATAAGTAAATATGTATTTACTATTATCTTCCCATTTCTTCTTTTAATTGAAAAATAAATAGTTTTTTCAGATTTCATATTCCTAAGTATTAAATGTATTAGTTACTAAGAGTCAACAATGACTTGATGGCACATAAAAGATTCTTCTATGAGATATGTATTTAGACATACTTTGTTTACATAATATGATCTACTACAGAGGTTATTACCTTTTGGTCTTTTAAATCACATACCGGAAGCTTTTACTTTTGTATATCTGCAATAAATTGTCCTGGCTCTGGAGCTGCTTTAGGCAACATCAGCAGACTTCAACATAGAAAAGATTATCTGTTTCTTCTGAAATTACTGTTACATTAACATTTAAATCCATTTCAATGCTCTGTAACTACCTATATTTATTTCTAAAAAATCTTGGGGTAAAAGGAAGATAAGGTCTCCCATAATAATAACTTCATTGCTAATCTCAAGATGCCAGACTGTTTTTCAACTTGTACTTTCAGCAATAAGTAGACAATTCTGCTAAACTGTAGTTTCTTTATACTTTGAATGTCAAAACTGAGAACAGGCTATGTATAATTGGAATTTACCTCAGGTACTATTGAGGAATTACTAAATCCTGCTGTTTGTGAAAAGGTTATTTTCCTACTAAGGGTCTAAGCTTTTCTATTAAGAGTCTATTAAGAGCCCAAGCTTTTCTTGGTAATTTCCAATTTGACTTTCATACATTTCAGAATAATTTGCCATTTTTATTATAGCGTGTGGGATTAGGTCCTTCAGAACCACTGAACTATATCTTTCAAAGGTCCTGGAGCACTGGGGAACTACCAGAGGATTGGAAAAGAGATGATGTAGTTCCCATCTTCAGAAAAGGGGAAAAATGGATCCAGGAAACTACAGACCTATCAGCCTGACCTCAATACCTGGGAAGATTCTGGAAAAGATAATCAAGCAATGAATCAGTGAACACCTAAAGGCAAAGTCATTACTAAAAGCCAACATGGGTTTGTCAAAAACAGATCATATCAGTCAAATCTTATTGCATTCTTTGACCAGGTGACAAAATTAGTGGACTAGAGGAATGCTGTGGATATAATTTACTTGGACTTCAGTAAGGCATTTGATAAAGTAGACTACAACCTACTACTTGATAAGATAGAAAAATATGGCTTAGACAGCATCACCATCAGATGGATTTGTAGCTGGCTGATTGGCCATACTCAGCATGTGGTCCTCAATGGAACTGCATCTACATGGATGGAAGTGTGTAGTAAGGTGCCTCAGGGCTGTGTTCTGGGCCCAGTGCTCTTCAACATCTTCATCAATGATTTGGATGAGAGGATAGATGGGGAACTCATCAAATTTGCAGATGACACCAAGCTGGCAGGAATAGCCAACACTCCAGAAGATAGGCTTAAGATACAGAAGGATCTTGACAGACTTAAACATTGGGTGCTATCTAACAAAATGAAATTCAATGGTGAAAAAAGTAAGGTTCTACATTTAGATAAGAAAAGCCAAATGCACAGGTATAGTATAGTTGGTACCTTGCTCAATAGTAGTAATTGTGAGAGGGATCTTGGAGTCCTAGTGGACAATTACTTAAATATGAGCCAGCTGCCAAAAAAAGTGCTGCAGCTGCCAAAAAAGCCAACACAGAGTGCTAGGCTGCATTAACAGAGGGATAGAATCAAGATCACATGAAGTGTTAATACCACTTTACAATGCCTTGGTAAGGCCACATTTAGAACACTGCATCCAGTTTTGGTCACCATGATGTAAAAAAGATGTAGAGACTCTAGTTTAATGAAGAGAAGGATGAGGAGCGACATGATAGCAGTGTTCCAATATCTCAGGGGTTGCCAAAAGGAAGAGGGAGTCAACCTATTCTCCAAAGCACCTGAAGGCAGGATAAGAAGCAACGGATGGAAACTAACCAAAGAGAGAAGCAAGCTAGAACTAAGGAGAAATTTCCTGACAGTTAGAACAATTAATCAGTGGAACAATCTGCCTCCAGAAGTTGTGAATGCTCCAACACTGGATGTTTTTAAGAAGAGACTGAACAGCCATTTGTCTGAAATGGTATAGGGCTTCCTGCCTGAGCATGGGGTTGGACTAGATGGCCGCCAAGGTCCCCTCCAACTTTTATATTCTAACTTGAGAATAATGTCATGATAGAAATGAATTTCTCGGTTTCTTAAAATTGTATAGGAAAGTTTTCAAAGTATATAGGAAAGTTGCTTGTTGATTTATTTATCCATCCATCCATCCATAAGCATCTTCAATTCATTTGGCCTCCGTATGTGTATGTATGAATTATTGTGTTGTATATATCTATATTGAGGTAGATGTTGATATAGATATAGATATTAATATCAAACATATCATATACTATAATGCTAATTCTGTGGTGATAGGTCCATAATCTATCCCCAAAAGTTTTCTGGAAGAGCCACTTATTGACAACTTTTTGTAAGACCATAAGAATGGGAGGCAGGATATTCCATAGGAGAGAGCCCAATAGAGAATGTCTACCATAAGGGTCCCCCAATCATGCTCGTAGTAGATAAGTACTTGTGCAGGTATTTTTTTCAACATTAAGTTTGGGTTTTCAGAATTTACTTGGGAAAAGTAGATACCCAAGCCTAAAACCATATTGGAATAAAGTTGGTGACTGGTGCTGGGAACTGCACTCAGAAATATACTGTTAACCATTACAACTCTTGCAGAAAGGGTGTAACATGCAGTATCAAAACAAAGAATGTGGGCTGTTGCATTTTGGAGCAACTGAAATTTCTGGATACTCTTCAAGTACAAGTTCATACAGAAAGAATTACAGTAATCTGGGTGAGTGATTGTTCTCAGGGCATCTATTCCACGTAGGACTACAAATGACGCATCACCTCAAACTGGGCAATCTCTTGGCCAGGGATCTGGGCATCCAAGAGGAACCATTCCACCTCAGATTTTAAATAAGAGAATTAAAGCTGGTAGAGTCCTACATTTGGTTCTGAACTGACAACTGCTCCATCTTTCTTGGATTGAGTTTAAAACTATTTTTATCTGTCTAGACCATGATAGTCCTCCAGCCATTAGGTCAAGACTATTGTGAAAATCACGTAGCTACTGCATGCAGTTCTGATCATAATCACTTTCCTCTTGCCCTATTTGGTTGCATAAATGTGCCTGAAATCAATCAAAAATGTTATTTAACTTTTAATTGTACTGAATGGGAATTTTTTTCTTTTTTTATTCATGTCACAGTGATTGACAGCAAACCATGCAAAGACACCTTTAACCAAAAAGTTTCTACTTCTAACAAACTAAAACTGTCATTAATTTTTATTTGTGCAAAAAGTGCCAGCACACATAATAATTTCAGTCTCTGAAACTCTGCAAACACAGTATTTCCTTGACAACCTATTCATTATTGTCTCCCATGGTATTATCACTGTTTCAGAAGTCCCTTTGTGCAAAAAGCACAAGAATATACCAACATATACAGCTAGCGAGTGTATTTCTTAGTTTGTAAGATCACTAATACCTTTTGTTGCTACAAACTTACCACTAATAGCATTGTCCTGTTTGACTTTATGACACCAACAATACCAAGAACAGATAGACAAAAGAAACAGAAACCAGTGAAAATCCCAATCCAGGCAGCACCATAGATATCATCATTGTCTGTAGCTTCCAGCAGTGGATATACAGTGTGTTGATCAGACACGAAGAATATACATTCAGCCATGAGTGCGAGGCCACAGCACTGAAACCAGAGAGACACATGAGTCATTCCAGAACATCAAAGTACAATAATATAAATAAATAAATAAACAAACAAACAAACAAATAAATATGCTTTCTACATTCAACTGTTATGTGTAGTGTATAGATTTTATAGCCTAGCATGGCTGCTCTTCTTCTGGCATGGGCCAGATTAAGGAATGAGAAAAAAAGGGGCAGGGTGGGAGAGAAGCAGCTTCAGCCTTGAAGGGCAGCTGCTGTATTAGGAATGAACTGACCTGGCTGCTAGCCAGGGCTGGTCTGGGGAGATTTTCAGGGGCAATTTCATTGGGGCAGTGAGGTATATAGGTCTTGGGTACTAGAACTCTGGGGAGATAGCCATCTCAGTAGTTGCAGGACATATAATCCCGAATTGGAGAGACAGAGGGTAGTGGAGAGTGAAGATAAGGGTAAAATTGGAGTGAACAGAGAAGGGGAAGGGAGAAAGGCTGGAGAGAAGTGAAATGAAACTTCCAGGCCAGTATTGGTTGTTGTTTGGGGAAAGGAAAGTGGTGGTCCAAAGGTGGCTTCCCTGGAAATATGGAAGTGAAGACCCAGAGGAACAAGCTCCATTGAAGATGCACGACTCAGGAGGGGAAAGAGGGATCTGGCTGGATGCAGTTGGTGGCCTCACCCAAGACCGTGGAGGAAAGAAGGGGAATCAGCTGCCAGTAGAGAAGCCCTGGTTTGGAAAAAGTGGACAGAAGATCCTGAGAGAAGTTCTTCTGCCAACACAGGTGTTCAACTGAGCTGGAAAAAAAGTCAGGCAACACTAAGTACACTCCAATAATCCCATTCCAGTTCAGTTCTTTCTTTTTTCTCTCTTACCAAGCCCAGAAACAAGGGATTGAGACAGAAAGGGAAGAGGAGGAAGGAGAAGAGATAGATGGGAAAAGTCATCACAGGGAAACCTGGGAGTGAAACCTGATACCAGAACTGTGTTTTTATCCCTGTTGTAAATAACTGTATGTAGTAAACAGCATAAAAAGTCTCCACTGTATTTTGGTATCCATTACTACCTTTGTAAATCCTTCATACTGCAACAACTGGTTGTTAATTTGCAAGGGACTGACTGGATTCATGCATTCAACTAAAGCAAAATAAAATTACCATAGCAAATTTCATTTCCAAATTTCAACCAAAACAAAAAAAAATATATTGTTGGGTTGGATTTAGCTTATTTATGTGTAAAGAAGGGACTTTTTATCATTTATGGTGGACGTGTGATAAAGCAAAAACATATTGGAGTAGGATTCATATGTTAATACAGAAAATTCTTAAAGTGAATATGGAAAGGAAACCAGAGGCTTTTCTCTTGGGGCTAATGGACAAAGACCTGGAAAAAAAATTGGAAACTTGATGTTATATATATTGACAGCAGCAAGATTAGTTTACCTTCAGATGTGGTAGACTACATTGATTCCCACAATGGAGGAATGGTTGCAAAAGACTGATGGAGCTAGCAGAGATGGCTAAATTGACTGTTATGATTAAAGAAAAAAAATAGAAATACTTTTACTGTTACAAGGAAATCGTTTCTGGACTTTGTGCTTGAGGTGAAAAAAAAATGAAATTTTGATTTTGGGCTTTACCAATTAGATAGATCTGTTGTTATTGAAATGGCTTGTTTATACTGTTTTGTAAAAGTAAAAAATTGAGGTTTGATATTGATATTCTATTTTACTGCACCAAAGGAAGTCAGAGGTCAATGACTTTTTTCTTTTTTCCCTTCTCCACTTTTCTATTCACTTTCCCCTTCCCTATCCTTCCCACTATTTGCTTTTGTATTTTCTTTGTATGCTATAGACTAAAAAATTTGGAATTCAGATTTAGCTTGTTCTATAAAATGCATCTCTGCAGTTTCTAAACCAGAATTTGGGGTTTAGTATGATATATCAATGTAATCAATTGTAGCTTACAAAGCTATTTTTTTCCAGAATCATGGTTTAATCATGTGTGAACCTAGGTCCTAGACAATGATATATTTTTGAAGAAGCCATTGTTAAATTACTTACCCCTATGACAACATTTCCCACAATTAGTAAGCCCTGAAAGCATCGCACACCAGTTTCTCCTTTTGCCATCTTCAGTTTGCAATTCAATCTAGAAAGGAATTATACATGTGTTAATACTGCAGGTTCTCTCAAAAAGTCTGTCTTTTCCCCCTTTTTTGAACCCTGAAAGCCACACAATCTTCGGCCATTTCCAAGACTGTAATAAAAAGCCTCAAAGATTTAAAAAATCACAACAAACCAATCCTACAGTTCTACAATAACTTTTAAAATTATACAGGAAAGAACACCTGTTCTCACTTCATTAGCAAATAATATCTTAATCAATCAGAATAGAGCTGGAAGGGACCTTGGAGGTCTTCTAGTCCAACCCCCTGCTCAAGCAGGAGATCTTATATACCATTTCAGACAGGTGGCTGTCCAGTCTTTTTAAAAAGTGACGAAGTACCTACAACTTCTGAAGGCAAGCTGTTCCATTGTTAGGAAGTTTCTCCTTAATTCCAGGTTGCTTCTCTCTTTGATTAGTTTCCACCCATTGTTTCTTGTCTTGCTTTCTGGTGCTTTGGGAAATAAGTTGACCCCCTCCTTTTTGTGGCAGCCTCTCAAATACTGGAATATTGCTATTATGTCACCCCTAGTTCTTCTTTTCTCTAGACTAGCCATACCCACTTCCTGAAACCACTCTTCATATGTTTTTGTCTCCAAGCCCTTAATAATCTTAGTTGCTCTTCTTTGCACTTTTTCCAAAGTCTCAACATCTTTTTTGTAATGTGGTGACCAAAACTGGATGCAATATTTCAGTTGTGGTCTTACCAAGGATTTATAAAGTGGTACTCTTAAAGAACAACATGTTTATAATCCTTTAGTTCTGAGGGATGGAATAGAATGGAATGGAATACTTTACTGAACAAGTATGATTAGGGACACAAGGAATTTGTCTCCAATGCAAAAGTATTCAATGTATATTCAAAGCAACAGAGTAATAATCATCATAATGATAACAATAAGAGGGAGTAGTAGAGAAGATGAGAAAGATAATAATAGTACTTATAGCCATACAACATGGATAAATAGACATAAGAGAATTAGGTGAGGATTAGGTGTTCAGCAGAGTGATGACACAAGGGAAAACACTGTCCCTTGGTCTAGTTGTTTTAGCATGCAATGTCATATAGCAACGTCCCAAGAAAGGAGTTGAAATACTTTATAACCAGGATGTGAGGGAATCTATAGATATTTTCTCAGCTCTCCTTCTGACCTGCACAATATACAGGATAAATATTTCAAATATTACCACCTGTATAAAGCATACAGTATTTAAAATGGCACCCATCAGCCAATCTCCATAGTAGCCAAACTGAACAGATTCTGCTATTCAAAATTACATTTGGAGAATTGCATTTTAAGTGAAGCATTTCTCATGTTCATTCCTCACAGAAAACCATGAGTCATATAAAATATTTATTAACTTTTAGGTGGGAATTATTACTTAGGAACTGATGAAGCTTTTGAACACATATATTGTAAGAAAATATTTGTATTTCTATTTTCTTATAATATATGTGTTCAAAAGCTTCATCAGTTCCTAAGTAATAATTCCCACCTAAAAGTTAATAAATATTTTATATGACTCATGGTTTTCTGTGAGGAATGAACATGAGAAATGCTTCACTTAAAATGCAATTCTCCAGTTGAATTCTGATATTATTTTGGAATCCATTCTACATGCTTTGATTCATATAATTCATTTCTCTACCTGATTATTTGTGCTAGAATTAAAAGTATCGTGTTTCTTGCATGTTATACCATTCCTAGGAAGGCAATGAGTGAGATTTTTTGTAGTTTCTCACACCTACCTGGGAGGTTCCTTCAATCTTGGACTACAGCTTCTGCTTCATGGTTGAAAATGTTATTTCCTATTTTACAGCAGATAGCCTACAGCAAGCTTGATTCAACCTTTTTGGGTGAGAAAGTCACACCCATCAGAAATTCTGTTGCAGACACTATTATGGAACCGGCTGAGAAAATAATTCAAAGAGCCAGTTGCAGCTAGAACAAGGGAGACCAGGAAAGTAACATTCCAGTTGAATGTTTTAAAATTCTGAAACTTTCTGCTCAACATTCCAGTCCTTAGTATCTTCCATAGAATTTACACACCCTCTCTACCATTCTCTCTCATGTACTTGCAGGAACAAGATTACTATGCAGGTTTTTCTACTGCTATGCAGAACTACTTTTTCCCTACTTTTTTTTCAATCATTTTTTTTATTTCTTTCAGAGGAGAAGAGAAATTCAGTGATATTTGTATGGATGAAATGTGGTGCTCTTGTTTATTTTTAGTTATGAGATGGGGGGAAAATGTGGATATCCTTTTAACATTATATAGTCCTTGGTTCCTTCTTATACTTTCAGTAAATCTATTGCTTACATATAATTTTAATAAGGATTTTTACATAAATAAAATTAAACATAAGAACATATATAAAAGAGGACTAAGAAAAAGAAAAAAAGCAAAAAGTGTGAACAAAACAGTACAAATAAAGATGACAAGAAAAAGATGAAGAAAAGACTTCCAGTGTTCTTTACAGCATTTGCAGAACAACATACTATCCCTCTCTCTGATTAAATTACACTGTTCTCCTCTATCTCATTTTCAATCTTTTAAATCAGCAAACTCAGAAATCACCATTTCTTTTTTTTACATTTTCAGCAAAATGTCATAAGAGTACTTGCTTCATCCCTGATCAAATACTACAAAAATCCAGCAACTGTGTCTTATACTCTTTGATAAGAGAGAAAAACAACTCTCTTTAATGCGATATTCATTCAGATATTTGAAGAGTTCTATCATGTTTCTCCTGAGTTATCCTTTTTTCAAGATTAAATATGGTGTTCCAAACTGGGAAAAAACTCACTAGTCAAGATGAGTCTAACCAAAGCAGGACTGACTAGAATGATTACTTTCTGTAATTTCGAGACTATGATTCCCTTGATGCAAACTGAGTGTCTTCTTTCCAGTTATGTGACCCTGCTGGATCATACTCAATTGCAGACAAGTATGTTCACAATCTTTTTCACATGCGCACTTGGCATACCAGATAGCTGCCATCCTATACTTGTACATTTGATTTGGGGTTGTTTTTTTTTGTGAACTTTGCACTTATATCTGTTATTTTTAAACTATGTCTGATTTTTATTTCTATATTCTATGTTAAATCTACCTAACCTGATTTTGTATCATCTGCAAATTTGATAAGCATTCTCTTCAGTCACATATAAGATAGATTGTTGTGGCATACCACCTAATACCATTTTCCAATTTTATGGATAACCATATGTTTTGTAAGCCAGCTATGTAATCAGTTTATTGCAATCTATAAATAGTCAGCTTGCTAGTCAATTTTGTCTGATCTTTTGCTGCAGTCAAGATATAGACATAACATTCCATAATCTATTAAGGAAGTGATTTAAAAAATGAGATATTACTTTGTCAAGATATGTTCTTCACAATTTCTTGATAGCTTCTAATAAGTATACCTTTGTTTTCAAAATGTTTACATATTAAATCCTTACAGATTGGCTTTAAAATATTTCAAATTGATACCTAACAATATTCTAAATTGAAGTTTTCTGAAATTTCCTTTGCCCCTTTGGGGAGAACTTTTACTGTCCTCCACTCCTTTGGCACTTTTCTAATTCTCCAGTTTTTCTCAAAGATAGTACATAGTTCAGCTGGACAATTAGCAAATTCCTTCAACACTCTAGGAAGTAACTGACCTGATCTTCAAGTTTAAACTTTTTCGAAATGAATAGGTATTCTGTAAACATATTTGTATAATCTCAAATTTCAATCCTGCTCCTTCATCCTACACTTCTCAATTTCCTGATAGAACATGTATATCTGCTAGAGAAAACTGAACCACATTGAGTAATTCTTCCTTCTCTGTGTTACCTATTAATGTTTTGCCTTCTTCACTGAGCAGCTGGTGTACTGATCTTTTCCCTTTATTTTTTTTAATTCTTAGTATCTCTTGCTTAGTAGTCTATTATCAGAGCTATTATTACTGCTTCCCAGCTGCTAACATGCTTTTTGAAAGGCTCTAAAAATCATATGGAGAAATTGTGTTCTGCTTTGTTTTTTTGGATAAGTAAAATAAGAATACAGTACTGAATCTCTTATGGCTTAAAGATTACTGAAATAACAACGTTAAAATTTGAGATGCCCAAGGGTTCTTTAGCACCTTTGATGCTAGTAATATTCATATTCTATTACACAAAGTAATAGAAAGTTAAAAGAAGGTGAGAGGGAAAAAAGGAGCAGTATAATTAATTCTGTTCTGTCTTTATATAGAATGAAATGTCTATGTGACCTCTAAGATGTCTAGTAAAGTTTCTAAATCAGCTCCTATAATTCAATGCTCTTCAGATATGTTGAATTACAGTTCCCAACATTCTACATCCGCTATGTCCAACAAATAACTGGCTGAGAAATTATCATAGTTACAGCTCCAAACTCTTAGAGACTGCTAGACTGGAATATCTATAACTAGTTCAGCCTTCCCCAAACTGTTTACTGGCATTGGTAAAGTTTTGCATTTAGACTTGTTTATATCACCATGCTAGTAAAATATCTCAGCTGTAACACATGGGTTTGGGGATCAAGACAAGGCAGCTACACGCCTATAGAGATATTTCTTTTCAAATCAGGAATGATCTGGAACTGGCTGTTTTGTTGTGTGTGAAACTTCCTAACTGAGCTTTAGTGCTTTTCATAATTGTAGAACCAAAGCTTAAAAACCAACAGATTTTTTTTGCAAGTAAACAAAGAGTGGGAAAACACCCTGACTCCACCAAAGCCTCAGAAGCCTTGTATAAAAGAGAAATATTTTTGAAAGGGTGTGGTTGAAAACAGAATCTTCTATGGGCATTGAACCTTATTTTACCATGTCCCAGCTTGCATACTCAGAAATTCCATTGGGTAATGGGAGCTGTTCTTTCTCTGTAAAATATTTCATTTCCTAATTTTCCCCTAAATAAATTATGCCTGAACACTTTGATGCTCTGAAGATTCTTAAGAACTAGGAATGTTTG